TGTTCGTTAACTAAACGAGTTTATTTATGTTGTTCGGCCCGACTCGTTAACGTTTACGAATGAGTTTTAACCGATCCGAATCATCAGTCTTCACAAATGATTCAATCCGTTAACAATTCTAAACACATATTCATCAGTAACTAGGATAATATCCATTCGAGTGCTTCGATTGTATCTTTGAACAATCTTGAGATTCACCAAATAGATATGAAGACTGCATTCTTAAATGGTAATTTAGAAGAAGAAGTATATATGGAACAACCGAAAAGTTACGTTGTTCATGGCCAGGAAAATAAGGTGTACAAATTGATAAAGTTTATTTACTGACTAAAATAGATACCTTTGCAATGACACTTCAAATTTTTGATAATTTCACATTATCAAATGAATTTAAAATAAATGAATGTCACAAGTGTATTTACATTAAGAAAACACCTTCCAGTTTCATCATAGTATATTTGTACGTAAACAATTTATTGACCATGACTAAAGATGTAAGCTTGATTGATGAGGTCAAATGTATATTGAGTTGAAGCTTCGATATGAAATATTTGGGGTTAGCCAGTGTTATCCTTGGAATTAAAATTCTAGGACGAGATGAAGACATTATTTGAGTCAATCCCACTATATAAAAAATATACTGAAAAAAATCAATGCATTCGACAACACTCCAGCATAAACTCCAATGAACCTCGGTGAACACTTGAGCGTGAATATGGAGGATCCTATAACTCAAGAAGAGTATGCAAGAATCATTGGAAGCTTAATATACTTAATAATTTGTACAAGGTCTGACCTAGCGTGCTCAGTTTAAGTTGGTATACTAGCAATCCTAGTCACGAACACTATAAAATGATAGTGAGAGCCTAAGTTATCTTAAATTTACTTTGGCATATACTACGCAATATATCCTCCAGTACTTGAAGGGTACTGTGATACTAATTGAATATCTGATACAAAAGACTTGTTGTCTATAAGCGGGTATTTTTTTTACCATTGAAGGGGGTGCTGTTTCATGAAAATCCTCAAAACAGACATAGTTCATAATAGAATTGGAGTTCATAATATTGAATAAAGCCGGTGAAGAAGCCGAATGGCTCAGAAACTTCTTAGAAGATATTACATATTGGACTAAACTAGTACCCCCCCATGATGATTTACTGTGCCAAGTTGCGATAACAAAGGCTAAGAATAAAATTTATAATGATAAATCCCGACATATCCGATATAGACATAACACTATGAGATATTTGATCACGAGTGAGGTTTTGACTATTGAGTATGTAAAGTCAAATAAAGCCTAGCAAATCGGCTAACCAAATGATCACAGAGGGATCAAATATACAAATTGCTAAAGATGATAAGTTTGAAATCCACAAGTTTGAGACAATTATATCGGTAACCCAACCAAATCACTTGAAAATCAAGTCCTTGTTCAATGGGAAAACTAAATTGTAAAAATTCGGCATGAACACTTGATCACCATTTACTAAAAAGCAACAAGTGTTACGATATGCAAGAGTGGTGAGACTAAGTCAATGACTCTTAGTAATCCTAAATGTATGGGTTAGATACCTTAAGATATGATTACTTATGTAAGTGTGAAGTGTGAGCTGCTTCAAAGGAAATACTTATGAATATAAAGACGAGATCCATGGCCGGAACAGATTAAAACGTGAGAATAAAATTAAGGCTGAGATAATGACACGTCAATGTTATTGACTCAGTGTATGATGAGGTGGAACCATTCAATCTGTCACTTCAACTGGGCCATTAGTACATTCTGTAATATTGACTATGAAAAGTTCAAAGCCATAGGCTACATGTCTTAATGTGTCAATGTCTCTCCAAAGTTGAGTTGTACATTTGTCATAATTATAGACATTTTCACTCAGACGTAGAATTGTTGAATAAATTGGTTTAAATAACCAATCTAATTGAATTCTCAGAAAAAATTAATTCAGAATTTCTTGAAATTGATTTTTGGTGAGTAGAAATGCATTAGGCACTAAGAATTAATTGAGATTTTATCGATTGTTCAAATTGAAATATAATTAAAATTGTGAGTTAAAATAATTACTGACTTTGAGTAAATTAGTTAAGTAATCAAATAACTAGAGCATGAAGTTGTCCCACAACCCTAAACCTTAATAATGTATATATATATATATATATATATTGAGTTGTGTAATAAAAGCAGAAAGAAGTATGGCAGGGGCACGAGAGTGCCGGCGAGCCACACGCGCTACTTGCCCATCCAGGTCAAACCGGACACATAAACAGGCACGGACTCGGGCTCGGGTTGAAGGTTGAGAGTCGTGGGTCGTAAGGGTTGGTAAAAGCTTAACTTGAGGAGGACAAAATTTGCACCATAGCCCAATGAGCGAACCTAAAATTTAACATTTATTTGTCTCGATATAAACTTAAGTTTTAGTGTCCAAGGCGAGCTCAAACCCTAAAATTCTTAATGAAGACTGGGATGTGGCCCAAGATCTAGATAATGCTATATCCGGTAAGTTGACTATATCTGATTGTAATCACGAATATTGCACCAATTGTATATCCGATTGTCGCGCAAAATCGTGCTTGAATATCACGATGGCAATTACGGGCTAATATCATTTCCTTTAATAGAAATAGTTTCCTTATTTCTTCTGGGTGGTGTGCCTATAAAAGGAAAAATCCTCTCATTCATTCAAACACACCAACAACATATTCCTCTCCTTCTCTCTCTTCTCTCACTCCAGCAAGCCCTTCCGGCAATCTTTTTATCCAGTTACATCTTCGATTTTGTTTATTGGAGCTTCGACGATCTAAAGTATCAATCTCATCGGAGACGGGAACCGTTTTATTTTTAGATAAAAACTCCAACCACTGAAGACATTATCAGAGCGTATCTAATTTTTGAAAAAAGAAATCATACTCGATCCAGTTTCATATTTAAGCGCTTTTACTCTTGCGCAATTACTTTAAACTAACAGAGTAATTTTATTAATAGAAAATTAGATTACAATATATAAAAGAATTTTAAAACTCATCAAGTATAATGGGTGGATATTTATGCATTCTTCATAAACTAAAATACCCAGTCACTTGCTTCACTAGGGATATGTTCGAAAATAATGTACATAACTTTATATATATCATACTCCTTCCGTTTCGAAACACATGATCCATTTATTTCGGACACAATTATTTAGGTAGTGTAGATTTGTAAATTATTAATAAAAAATTATAATTTATTTTATTATTTTTTTATATAAGTAATGTTGTTAGTATTTTAGAAATATCAATTCATTTATACTCCTTCTATTCCAAGATAATTGACTTTTATCATTAGTGGCACGATATTCGATATTTGAGGTAATGGTGTTTAATTAATTAATAATAATAATTAATAATATTATTTATTATTTTTTTATGTAACTAATTCTATTAATAATTTAAAACAAATTTAATTATATGATTAAAAAATTAGAATATGTATTTAAATATTTTAAAAATTATATCACAATAAAATATATACAATATGGATATGTAAAGAATAAAATTTCTTATAATACAAGTAAATACAAGATGTTTTTATTTATTTATAATTAATATTAACTAATTTTATAAAAGTGTTGGAGTTTTAATGTAAGATAAAACTATATGTTTTTTTTAGGATATTGATAAAAATAAAGACGTTTTGAGTGGATATTACATAATGTATGATATCATATAATGTAGTTAATTAAGTTGATTTATATTTGTTAAATATGTTTTGATTTAATAAATTTTATTCAAAATAGAAAAATGTGGGACAACTAAAATGGAAAAAAGTGTAGATTAGGATGAGATGAAGGGAGTATACGATTAAAATAAATCTAAAATATATATTTAAATATTTTTAAAATTATATCTTAATAAAATATACTCCATCCCACATAAAAGTGTCCATTTTTTTTTTAGTTAGTCTCGTATAATTTGTTTCTTTTTGTTATATATATAATTATATACTTTTAATCACATTTTAAAATTTATAATTTATAATTTTTTTAAACTTAATTAAATTATTTTGTTATCTTAATCTTAATATTTTTATTATAAATTAATTATTTTTACTAATACCGCTTTTTAATTATTTACTTACTAATTATACTTTACTTAAATTGTCGTATTTATAGTAATATTGACACTTTGAGTGGGACAGAGAGAGTATATAATATGAATATCCTTTTGCAAATAATAAATTTTTATATAATATAAATAAATATATATTTACAATTAACTTAAACTAATTTTATAAAAAAACGATGAAAGTTTGCAGATAAAAATATTAGTTTATTGAAGAGAGATAGTATATCCAATCCATAAGAGATTAAGAATCTAATTAAATTGATATTTTTGAAAGAGAGCCTTTTGGTGTATTTAAATTAGAGTTGACAAAAAGTGACAGGACACGAAATAATTGAGTTTGGGTCAAAAGTTTCAACCGATTATATATACAGGTTGACACAAACCTGACATGATAATAAACAAGTCGGGTTAGAATTGAAGCTTTCAACTCGAATCCGATACGACAACCCGGTTATAATATATTAATATTAACTAATATATTTATTATATATGTCAAATAATTATAATTTAATAATTTGCTCATATATTAATTTAAACTAAAATAATTCTACCTAATTCATTGTACACATTATGCTCGAACCAATGAAAAATAATATAACACGACAATACGAAAAAATAATCTAATTTGAATCAAGAATTTTGACTTAATTATGTATACGAGTCAACACGAGTCAATATGAACCCGACACGATAATAAACGGGTCAACACGAACACGACACGATAATAAACGGGTCAACACGAACACGACACGATAATAAATGGGTCGAGTTAGAGTTGAGTAATTTAACCCGTTTAAAGTATTAGTATTCAACCCGAAATAAATCGACCCATTGCCAACTCTAATTTGAATGTCAGTTGCGAGTTGGTTTAAAATTTAAACTAGTAAAAACTTAAATTAAATAAATGGTTAATGTAATATAAACATATGTTTGTTATAATAATATACATAAAATAAAGCCCTGCATACGATCAACATATACAGATATGACTGAAATCCAATCTTCAACAATGACTAAAGCAACTTTCTCTGTAACCATTGCATCTCTAATCTACCATTTACAAATGTTCAATGATCGCAAAACAACACACTATACTGCAGAAACCTGTGCCAAAAAAAAAAAGGAAAAACAGCACATCAAGGAAGCATGGGCTTTTACTTACTGGTAACATTTATTGCACAATCAAGTAGGAAGACAAAATCCCAATTCAAGCAATGGAATAGTTACTTCAAGAAATTCGATAGCGTAATTGCGGCTAATTACTTACTATTTTATGCTGCTCTGTTGTAATATATATGTAGAGCCCCAGCCTTGCACTTTTCCTCTTTCAATCATGCACATCACTACTCTCAAGAACTCGTCGGCTTCTTCTGGGTTTGTGAATTCTATATTGGTTTGGAGAAGGGGCAGTGGAGAATGTACATTCTTCAATGCCTTCCCCTTTGGTTGTTCGCTCCCACTTTTGTGCCTCTGAAAGTTCTGTCTAGATAATTTATCCGAACCACTTCCCACAATGTGCACCACCTGCCCCTCATTGTCAGCAAGAATTATGCTATCCAATCCGATTATAGATTGCATCACCCAATTAAGATCAGGAGGAACCCCTTCGAAGTGGGGTTGGCCCAAGTCGACTAAAGTGGAGCAGCTAACTACTAGTATAAGTCTTTGTGTGATCACCACATATTGGCCACTTTGACTGAGTGCTTTGCACATAACTAGTGTCTCCTCTCTCAGACTTTCATCCGTTTCAGCAAGAACATATGTTCCTATTGCTTCCTCCCACGAGTAAGGCTTCAGTGGTAAATCTGCACTTAAAGACCTTGGTAAACGGACTCTAAAGCACCGATACCCCATCTGGCGTATCCTACTACGGTTTCTGATGCTTTGTGCAGTTTTACCAGTGACTTCAAGCAAACTGGCTGCAGGTCTTGCCACTAGTCCAGTAATACCCACCGCTATACCTGAGCCCGATAAATAAAAAAATTAGTTTGATTTAATATGCAACCTCCTGCAAATCAACTCAAACTTCGCTATGCTAATAAGGGTACCTGAAAATAGACCTGGCAGGCCATGTTTTTCAGCCCCTTTGATGGGTGATTGGAGTACTCCTGTGAGTCCCTGAAGTAGGAAATAAAGAAGCTTTTTACCAAGCTGTGGCTCAGAAACAAAACTTGAGTCATCAAATATTGGACATTTTGAATTGGGTCCATATCAAAGGCATCTTCGGTTGAGTACTTTCAAGATTTTCAATATCAAATTTTGAGCCCTGCTATTCGCTGGGAGCTGAACAAGAAGAAACTCTCATATAGTGTTCTGTAGTAGAGATGGAATTCCAAATCAACTATGAACTATAACCTCAAAAGAACTAGATTCCATTAACACCAGAGGAAGAATGAGGAGTCGAATAACCACATTCAAATTCTTCAAACAGGAACAGAAATAGGTTCAAGAATTTGCAATATAAGCAGGGATGTATATAGCTGGCACTTCAAAAATCATAAAGTAATAACCCAAACATATAATGCACCTCCAAGAATTCATTTATCACTCCTTTGCTTTGGGAAGCAATCCCCTTGTTCTGTCCTTCAATCATTGTCTCGGCTTGGTTGTCAAATGCAAATGCCACTATACCCTGAAAGTTTTTGAGATCAAGTTCAAAATTGTTAAAGGTAAAGAAGGATGTGCTTCCAAGTTTACCAAGAAAACCAAGTACCTTATGTGCAGCTTTGCTGAATTGACTAGTAGCATCAGTTATTGCATAAACAGTATTGCTGAGAAGGCTCGTTGTACCCTGAGCCATACCAGTAATAAGTCCTGTAGGGCTCTGTAAAGACAATCTTGTGTTAATAGTACCATTGTTTGGGAAACCATAACATATTGTTTAGGGCCATATACCTGGAAAACGCTCCAGATAGGAACAGAGAAAAAATCTTTGATGCCTAGACCTAAATTCCTTGCAAATCCTACAGGATTTCCAATAACTCCAGCAGAACCAAAAACCTGTAGATATTACTTAGGAAGATCATCAATCCGCATTTATGACAAGCTTGGAGCGAGCATACTTTAGAGGGGTGGGGGGAGGGGGGGGGGTGTTAGATGCTGCTTAGAGTTAGAATTAGTGTCTGATATTGAGGTGTGTTTGTCCACTTTTGTTTCCCTGGCCCAGTAATTCTTTTTCATCTCTTCATCTAACCAATAGATGGTTATATATACTTATGTAATTGTATTGCAAATTATCAAGTTAAGTGAATACAATATACCCCCTTTCTTGTTCATCTCTCACAAAAATAAAACAACCTTCAAACACATGTCAAATATAATAAACTTTTATCAAGGCAAGGAATTAATGGAAATAGGTACCTTAAATGTGAATACTCAAACAATAGAAGCATGTATATACTGAATATTTGTTTCCTTTGACCTCTAAAGCATTGTTATAGAACTACTAGTTCATGCTGTATCTTTAAAAATGAGAATGATGGCCTATAAATACTACCCATAAGTACTATGAAATCAAGTCCTTATTTATTGATGTCATGAAGACAAAAACTGCATGCTACGCAAGTAGTATATATAAACAGTGGACTAGTGAAACAGAGAAAGGAAGGAGGATACCTTGTACATTTCGTGTAGAAACTGTCGTGTGTAATGACTGACAAGGATTTCTTGGATGGATTCCCAGCTAGCCATCTGGTGTGAAAGGATTAATTGCTTGAAATGAATTTGTGCACCCTCGACATCAGCAAGAGCCATAAGACCTCTCTAAGGTAAATAAAGACGTCAATATGAGGAATAAGTAACATAATAAATTTTCTACATGTAGAAAAAGTATATTTAGGTGGTTAAAACAATATGGCTGTAAGTTAGGGTCAGTTATTTAGTATTAATTTAGATTTAATTCCTGTTTTAATAAGTTTTAATTTCTATTTTATAGCTAGTTAATTTTCTGTAATTTAGCTAATTAATTCCTGTAATTTAGCTAACTAATTGCCATATCTTTTCTATTTAAACCTGCATGGTTAAAAAATAATATACATTTTGTTTTTTTGCTTACAAGTGAGAATTGTGTTATTTGAAACTACATTGCAATATGTAGATATTGATCAACAACTTTTCCACTTACATGAATAAGAGATTCCCCAGATGTAAGCACACCATTCCTAAGAATCCACGGACTGCTTGAAAAGCTGCAAGAAGAAAATCATTATGGGTAAAGCCATAAGGAAAATTTAATATCAGATGTATTAAAGAATAACAGGAATGGAGTGTCATGCAATTAAATTTCAGCTAACCTCAATGTCACTTTAATAGGCTCCATATCAAACAGTTCAACATATATTTTCTTCTCCTTCTGCACATCAAGTTCAATTTGCTGCCAAGGAGCTCCAATTGGGACAATATGGGGCAGAAACAAACTTATATAATCTTTAGAAATAGGAGTTGTGCCTATACTATTGGATTGCCTTTCATCAAACCATGAAGAATACTGAACAAGTTCTGAGTCAGGGAACAACATATTCAGGGAGGAATCCACGTTTTGGAAAACTCTGCTCCGCAGCCTTGAAGATGTTGTCTTGCAAAATTCAAACAATCTCAGCACAATTTCTTGCTCAATCTCAAGATAAAAATCAGCTACTCTGCGAAAGGAGGCGCAATTCATCAACAAGAGATCAGGAAAATAAAAGTGAGATAACTCCCTAAAATATTACTAACCTAAGGCTAATAGATTCAAATGAAACCAGTGATGCATCAGTGTTTCTCCATTTGCCAACAGCTAAGCATAACACTGGTTCATGCAAGTTGGAATAAGCAATTTGGCTCATGCTTCCAGTCATGAGTTTTGCATTATTATCTCTAAGCTTCATCTGATTCCCCAAATTTCCCTTGTTACCAAGATTGAAGGACAGGATCACAGGATACAGAGTTGTATGTAATTGATTATCAATCTGCAATGATTCCACTTGTAGGGAGAAAAGCTGTTGATCTAAACTCTGTACAAAGTTAAGTTTTGTGTTCTTAGCACACAAAAAGAGCAACTCCTACAAAATAATAGATGAGCAGAAATTGTCAATTTACCATTAAGACACGCATGAGTATAAGTGCAAATAGATTAAAAAGTCAAAAGTCATTCTTTATGTGAAACAATACCTCAGGATGAGAATTCATCAAAGATATTCCGAGAAAGGGAACATCAATTGATAACTTCTCCTTGTAATTCACAAAGGATTCATACTTCTGCGTCTGTTTCCCTTTATCTTTCATCTGAGCAATATTAAGATTCTTGAGATCATTCAAAACATGGTAACTTGAATCTATGATACTGAGAACCTGGCATAAACAATGCAGAGTTATTATCAATAATTAACATATATGATGTTCATTGAGAAGACCATACATACCTTAATTGCTCCTTCAGAATGAACTGAAATGAGCAAATTTCTTTCAGGCTTCTGAAAGAAAATTTACAGGGCAGACATTAGTTATCAAACCAAAGTTTTTTATCAAGCACATAGAAGCATTAATGTAAAACATGTTAAACAGGTGGCTGAACATTTACAGAGAGGGACATCAGTGCGCTTTAGCAGCACATAGATCGTCAATTATCAAATTGTAAACCTGTTGGTATATGTTAGACTTGTTAGCTTCGTATATATATCAACATTTATATCTATAACTACATCCATATCCATATCCGTATCTATGATATAGTTAAACTTAGTTGTTAGGATAGATTTCTAAATACCTCTCTCTCTCTCTCTCTATATATATATATGTATTCTTTCCTTTTCTTTTCTCATGGAATAAAATAATATTTTTTCTTTATTTCTCTACATAGTATCGGAGTCGACTAAAGTTTACATAGACTTCCATATTTTCCAGCTGCCGCCACCACCTAAACCTTAATCCAATCAAAATCCTAATTTTTCTTTGCTACCAATTTGAGTTATCTTTTCACCCAACTAACACCATAATCCAACCCTTAGCACTCGGACGCCTCCAACCACGGTGAGAAAACCTCCATCTTCCGCCGCACGCGCCTCCATGGGCCACCACCGGAAGATAACGCCTGCTTCATTTTGGTCGACTTTCGACCTCTTTCTGGCACCCTTTTCGGGGACACGCCATACCGGCATGTTCCTCTCTACACGATACATTGGACAGTGTTGTTGACCATTGCCGCCTCTGTATGCGTATCACACGTGCCGCCATGCGCTACCGTTGTCCATGCCAAATTTTCTGTTGGGCTTTCTTTTTTTTCTTTTACTTCTTATGCCCGACTCGTTTAAGCCCATTGACATTAGACATCTACGTTTGAAGTGTATCTATTGTCATAAGAATAATCATACTAAAGGATGTTGCTATAGTCTTCATAGGCGCTCTTTTCGTACGAAAAATACAGTTGCTACTAATTTAAATGAATTTACATCCCCTAGCTCCATTATTATAAGTCATGCCAATTATGATGATTTCTTTCAGTTTCAGGCTTATAAGCAGTCATCCTCCACTAGTTCCGACACCTTTCCTAATGCCCAGACCTTATTTATACCCAGACCTCATCGGTCGATATTTCTCAATCTACATTAGGCTTATGGGTTCTAGGTTCTGGTGCAACCAATCATATGTATGGTAATCCCTATTTGTTTTTTACTTTTCATCTGTCAAACCCACTAACACATGTCACTCTGGCTAATGGTAATAAAGCATATCCTCAAGCTATTGGTAAAGTTTGTATATCTCCCAAGTTATCTCTTGTGTTTCTCCTTTATGTACCACAGAGTCCATTTAACCTCATAGGTTAGTCGACTTACAAAAGATTAAGATTGTTCTATTTTATTGACTAGTAGTTCCTTGTTATTCAGGACTGCAAGGGGTGGACGATTGGTGCCGGATGTGAGTTTCATGGGCTATATACTAAATAAGTCTCATTGTCTATTTTCTACTCTATTGAGTCTCCTGAACTGTTCCATCAACAATTAGGTCATCCCAATTTATCAAAATTAGAACGTATTTTTCCTAATCTTTCATCCATTGTCTTCGTTACCATGCAAGTCATGCGAGCTTGGAAAACAGTCTCTTACTACTTTTCCAAAGTGCGTCAATATTAGAGCATCTGAACCTTTTGCATTAGCACATTCAGATATTTGGGGTCCTTGTCGTTCAAAGTCAAGTCCAGGTTTTCAATATTCTGTTACTTCTAGCGATAATTTCAGTCGATGTACTTGGGTTTATCTAATGAAAAAAAAGTCTGAATTACTTACTATATTCAAGAACTTATCATACCTCTATTAAGGTCTTAACGAATGATAACGGTAGAGAAAATTTTTCCCTCTCATTTAGTGAGTTTGTGTTTCTCAGGGGATTATTCATCGATATCCTACTCTTCCACTGCCACAACAAAATGGGGTTGCTGAGCCCAAGAATCGTCATTTAGTAGAAATAGCTCGTACCCTTCTTTTACATTATAATATACCGTTTCAATTTTTGGCTACTGCTATCCTTACAACATGCTTTCTTATTTATCGTCTTTCATCTACTTCACTAGGTCATAAGATTCTCATTGCATATCTTCAGCGTAATGTGTCCTTATTATACCATTTACTTCTCCGTATATTTGGTTGTATATGCTTTGTTCATGACCATTCTTTTGGTTTGGAGAAATTACGTCATCGATCAATCAAATGTGCTTTTCTTGATACTCTCGTGTTAACAAATGATATAAATGTTATTCTTCTTTCACTCGTCAATATAACCTCAGTGCAGATGTCACGTTCTTTGAGTCACCACCATACTTCGGAGTGTTATCAGCTTTATCCTCAATACCTGTGACTTTTATTCCAGTGGCCTCTATTCCCAAGTCTCCACTTCAGGTTATTGACGGCATACATGCCAATGTCAGAACATAGCTACTTCATCGTCACTTGTGCCCATTGATGACTCATCTTCGGTTCCGTCATCTTCCCCGGTTGCGACTCCACCGTCACCTATCGTCCTACGTCGAGGTATTTGGTCCACTCGCAATCCTAACCCTGTCTATAATTTTAGTTATCATTGTTTATCTCCTTCTATGTGAAGTGTTGTGACTGCTTTAGATTCCATCTCAGTTCCTCACTTTTGGCGTGAGGCTCTGGGTCATTGAGGATGGTGTCAGACCATGGTGGAGGAAATGCTTGCTTTGCATGCTAACAATACTTGGGAGTTGGTTCTACTGCCACTGGAAAAAACACCCGTAGCTTGGATTTATGCGATCAAGGGTGGCCCTGATGGTCGCGTCGATCGACTCAAAGCTCGATATGTTGCAAAGGGCTTTACTTAAGTATATAGAGAAGACTATACGGAAATCTTTTTCCGAGTTGCCAAAATCTCTCTTGTTCGTATTTTTCTTTCTATGACAACAATGCATGGTTGGCTCTTTCATCAACTCGATATTAAAAATATTTTTTGCATAGTGAACTTTAAGAAGAGGTGTATATGGAGCAACCATCTGGTTTTGTTGCTTAGGGGGAATATGGTCTTGTATGTCGCCTTCATCGCTCATACCTTGGCTTGAAACAGTCTCCACGGGCATGGTTAGGACGCTTCAGTTTTGTTATTCAAGAATTTGGTATGATGCAATGTTCATATGTGTTTACTTAATTGTCGATATTGATGATATTGTCATCACTAGAGATGATATAGATGGCATTACAAAGTTGAATGAGCATCTACACAAACATTTCCGGACCAAATACTTGAGACCACTACGATACTTCTTAAGACATGAGATTGCACAATCAAAAGAGAATTGTGTTATCCTTTCTGAGAGAAAGTATGTTCTTGATATGTTAGAAGAAACAAGAATGAATGAATGTAAGGTTGTGGATTCTCCTTTGGATCCACATACAAAGTTGGTCCCTGGACAAGGGTTGCCATTGATTGATGTTGTTGTTGGACGATATAGAAGACTAGTTGGAAAGCTTAATTATTTCACTATGACCCGGCCATATACATCATTTGTAGTAAATGTAGTGAGTCAGTTTCTGCAGTCACCATATGACTCTCATTAAAAGACACTTATGCGTATTTTGTGATATATTAAAGGGGCTCACAGAAAAGGTTTACTTTTATACAAATCAGGGTTATTATGAAATTGTTGGATATTCAGATGCCGATTGGGTAAGATCTCCAGGTGATAGATGTTTTACCTCAAATTATTGTGTGTTTGTTGGAGATAATTTGGTATCTTCGAAAAGTAAGCAACAAGACGTGGTTGTGCGTTCTAGTGCTGAGGCTGAATATTACGCTTGGCCTTAGCTACATATGAGCTGCTTTTGATTAAACAATTACTTTGTGAACTAAGTTCTATGATACGACAAACATGAAATTATGGTGTGTTAATCAGGCAGCACTACACATTGCATCCAATTCAATATTTTATAAACAAACAAAGCATATCGAAATAGATTGTCACTTTATCAGAGAGAAAAAGTGTTATCTAGATCTATAGATACTTAAGTATGTGTCCTCAGATAATCAACTTGCAAACATATTTACAAAAACTCTTAGAAGTCCTAATAGTTTGTTGGGATAGATTTCTAAATACATCTCTCTATATATATTATTCTTCCCTTCTCTTTTCTGGTAGAATAAAATAATGTTTTTCCTCTATTTCTCTTACACTATAAAATACAACCAAAATGTTGTAGTAGAACTAGCATAATGCCCAAGCCACATTCCACATCAGGCTGTACTAAAACAACTTCGCATATCCTCCTGTTTTTGAAATTAGATACTCATCACAACTGAAGATGAACAGTGTGAAAAGATAATGAATAGTGCTACATCAAAACTCTCTACTCTTAACAAATGAAAAGATAGATAAATAGGAGGGGGGAACACTATGTAGATGAAATATGTAGGAGAGAGAATATTATCGTAGTGGGGAAGAAGCAATAAAGCACAAATTTTATACCTCTGACGTTGAAGGTAGGTGCACAAGTGAATGTGCTGATGAATCATCAATGGCATATGATCCTAAGATCCGTTCGCCTGGAACCTGAAAATTTTCCAGGTTAGATTTATCCACAGAAGATGCCAGTAAATTTGATTAAAAATAATCATACCTCTAGAGTGAGGCGATGTGGATAGCATGGTTCATCCCAAGCATATGGAGATGATGTGTAAGGATAAATTACTGACTCGAAAGATTCACACTTCGGCTGGTAAATCCTCAACCTCTAGAAAGAACCAGAGCAGCAATGTTATCAAGTAGTGATGTTAAGCAAAGAGCACATGATATGAAGCTTCAGAGGATATCATAATTCATGAATCATGAATAAGAAACTTGGCGCGCCCGCGCCCGCACACACATATAAATTTAGCACTGGGTGTTGAATATACTTCACTTTGCTATTCCCATGCTCAATCCTTATGAACAGTTTTAGCACAACAAAGCACAAAATCAAGTTTCAACTAACCTCCCTTGAATGGTTGTCAATCCTGTACGGCATAAAACCTGTATGATCTTCAGACAAGATAATCAAGTTTGTCCCGGAGTTACCAATTGTGCTTCCAACAATCTTTTCACCTCCATCAGAAACATCAGCACTCCGCACTTCTACATGCATCATGATCACACCTGTGGTGATGTAGTTACGTACTTTTATCTGTGTGTCGCCTAACTGCTTGGGGAGGAAGCAGCCAGACCATTCCCATCCAGGCCCGTCAAAGCGAACAGATAGAAGTAGCTCTCTGAAGACAAGATAAAAATAAAAAGTTACAGAAGTTAACCAACAAGAATGATGTACATCATCCAGACGGAATTTATAGCAAACTTAAAACATAATAAGAAAAATGAAAAAGATGTTAAAAATTCAAACATCTTTATATGGGCATATGAATGGGAAAAACTGATTGATCACATAGAAACTTTAACAATTTAGGGTCTGTTTGGTTAGCTTCCAATTCATGGTTCGCAATATTCTCCCAACTTTTGTTTCACAAATATTTCTCAAGACAGGATCCACTTATAATTTTGTATTTCTATTTCTCTTCTTGATAAATAAACATATTTATATACATTCAAAATTCTCTATTTTATATAAAATTAATTTATGTTAATAGTGTGTAAATATATATTTTATTGATTTATATTATATATAATTTTATTCTTTACATAATGACATTTATATTAAATATATATTTGTTAAAATATTTTGCGAAAACTCTAAAACTTGCGTTCTTGATAATCAAAATAAGGGGCCTATATATAGATAACCTAAAACAAACTCGATAGATTCAAATCTAAATAATGCAATCTGATGGATACGACTAAATCTAAATCTAAATCTAACAAATCTAAAACTAAATATCTAAAATATCTCAACAACATTATAACTCAGCTATTCTTTGACACTCCCCCTCAAGCTGAGGAATAGATGTCTTCCATTCCCAACTTGGATACAAGATCATGGAAACTCGAACTGTTAAGCCCTTTTGTTAGAACATCGGCTAATTGTCTCTCTGATGGAACATAGGACATGATACTAACCCTTCCTCCAGTTTTTCTTTGATGAAATGTCTATCAATTTCAATATGCTTTGTCCTATCATGTTGTATAGGATTATGGGCTATATTAATAGCTGACTTAATGTCACAGTAAAGCTTCATAGGACCCTCCCATTTGACTCTCAAATCATCCAAAATGATCCTCAGCCAGCTTCTTGCTCCTCCATGTCACTAGGTTACCTCCAAGAAAAGTACAATACCCTGCTGTTGATCTTCTATCCACTAGGGAGCCAGCATAGTTAGCATCGGTGTAGGTTTCCAAAGTAAGAGTGTCATTCCTTTTGAACAAGATTCCTTTCCCTGGATTGCCTTTCAAGTAGTGCAGTACCCTGTAAGCAGTTTGAAGATGAGGTTCTCTTGGATTATGCATGAATTGGCTGATCAAACTTACAGAATATGCTATGTCTGGTCGAGTGTGAGCAAGGTATATAAGTCTGCCAACCAACCTCTGGTACATTCTTTTATCCACAACTGGTTTTTCTTTAGCTTCTCCCAATTTATAGTTTGGATCTATTGGAGTAGAAATCGGCTTACACCCAATCTTCCCTGTTTCTGCCAATAAATCAAGCATGTACTTTTGTTGAGACATGAAGATCCCTTGTCTAGAATATGCCACCTCAATACCGAGGAAATACTTCAATTTCCCTAGTTCTTTTATTTCAAATTCTTTCATTAGTCTCAGTTTTAATTCATGATTCTCTTTCTCATCATTTCCAGTCATTATGATGTCGTCCACATAGACTAAAAGAGCAGTCACTCCCCTTACAGCTGAATGCTTAATGAAAAGCGTGTGGTCACCTTGGCTTTGTTTATACCCAAATTCCTTCATGAATTTTGCAAATCTACCAAACCATGCTCTAGGAGATTGTTTTAACCCATAAAGGGCTTTTTTCAGTTTGCACGCCTTGTTACCAGTGTCCCCTTCAAATCCTGGTGGAATGTTCATGTAGATTTCCTCATTTAAGTCACCATGTAGGAATGCGTTCTTAACATTATATTGTAGCAGTTGCCAATTAAAGTGAGCAACCAATGATAACAAAATTCTTACTGTGTTCATTTTTGCAACTGGAGCAAATGTTTCTTGATAATCCACCCCATAAGGTTGAGTGTATCCTTTGGCTGCTAACTTTGCTTTATCTTTCAAGGGATCCATCAGCCTTGTACTTTAATGTAAAAATCTATTTGCAATCAACAATGTTTTTTCCCTTTGGTTTATCAACGATCTCCCATGTTTTATTCTTTCTTTAATGCATTCATCTCTTCTCTCATAGCATCCCTCCATTCCCTTTTTGACAATGCCTCAGACACATTGTGAGGGATGGCAATGGCGTTCAAACTCATAATGAATCCCTTTTGGACTGACGATAGGGGCTTAAAAGAGACATAGTGAGATAGAAGATAGAGTGGTCCTTTAGTGCATTCTCTAGTTTCTTTTCTACCAAAATGGGAAGATCCAGAACAGTAGTTGAATCAATGGACTGTTCAACAGATTGTGTGTGTAAAGGTGGATCTGATCTTACCGTGATTTCTTTCTCAGAATTTGGATTGGATTCTTGGACTTGTGTCAGTTCAGGAACAGTCTTTCTCCTTGAATACAACCGAGGAAACTTTGGAAAATTGTGAGTGATGCTGGTTGGAGAAGGAGATGATATGGGTTCAGTGACAGGATCGGGTGACTAAGATGTGACTGGTTTAGAGGACTCAGGTTCAACTGGAACATGAGGAGGGTTTTGTTCTGAGTGACTGCGGGGTGGCACATGCGGAAGGTCAAGGGTTTTAAGTTGTTCGAAAGACTCACAAGTACTATATTCCATCATTGAAATCTCCTCCTAAAGAGACGACTTGAAAAAAGGTCTATTTTATGTGAAAGTGACATCCGCAGAGATGTAACTTTTGAGTGGATGAGTAACCGAGGAAAACACATTTGATGGCTCTAGGGTCTAGCTTCCCTCTATGTTGTTTGTGGACATGAACAAAGGCGGTACACCCAAATACCCTAGGAGTGAGGCCATTTGAGGTTCTGAAGTGAGGGTAAAAGCTATGAAGGGCCTCGGGGCTTTTGTTTTGTAACACATGGGAGGGAAGTCTATTTATCATATATGTGGCAGTAAGAACTGCTTCTCCCCAATAGGACTTAGGAACATTCCCTTGAAACAGTAAGGCTCGGGTGGTGTTGAGTAAATGCCTATTCTTTCTTTCAGCTACCCCATTTTGTTGGGGTGTCTCCACACATGATGAATCATGGATAATCCCCTGTGATTGAAAGTAAGGTGACAGAATCTTATTGAAATAATCTCTAGCATTGCCTGTCCTAAAGCTTTTTATTTTGACCCCAAATTGATTTTGAACCATTGAATGAAAATTAGGTATAGCATTGCTAACATCAGATTTTTGCTTAAAAAGAAAGAGCCATGTGACCCGAGTGCAATTATCAATTAAGGACACAAACCAACGAGCCCCAGAAACATTAGGAATAGTGGAAGGACCCCATGTGTCACTATGAATCAACTGAAAAGGATGAGAACTTCTCTTATTGCTAATAGGAAAAGATGCACGGATATGTTTTGCCAATTCACAGATGTCACAATGAAATTCAAAAATATCTAATCCTTGGAACAAATGAGGAAACATTATTTTTAAAATCCTAAAAGAAGGATGACCAAGACGTAGGTGATATAGCCAAATGGCATCTTTATTCGAGGAACTAAGGAAAGAAGAAGGCAAGTTACTCTTAGGTTTTTTAGATTGGTTCAAGGTGGTAAAGACCGTTCCTTTCCTTAGCAAGTCCAATCCTCCTCCCCGAGTCCTGGTCCTGAAAAACACAATAAGAAGGGCAAAAAACAGCATAGCATTTAAGATCATGAGTCAACTTTTGAATGGAAACAAGGCTTTTTGACAGTTTGGGCACATGAAGGACATTTTTAAGGATAAGACTAGGTGTGATATGTATATCTCCAATCCCTACAACAGTGGCTAAGGAACCATTGGCCACAACAATTTTTCTATTACTTGGACATAGGGTATTGGTGTGGAAGAGTTGAGATGTGGGGGTCATATGGTCTGTAGCACCGGAGTCCATGATCCAAGAGTTGGTACATAATTTGTCTAAGACATTAATGCACACAGATTTACCTAAAAGAGCCATTGAACATGTTCCAGAAGGCTTCTCAAGAGACCCCAACAAACTTCTCAATCTCTCAATTTCTTCAGTATTGAACCCCTCTATTGCTGGATTTTCCTCAATATTGGGCTGCTTTGCCATATGCGCTTGAGGCCTTTGCTGCTGGCCCCCACGGTAGCCCCACTCTCGGCTTGGAGGTTTACCATTTAGCTTCCAACACTTCTCCCTTGTATGCCTGGGTTTCTTGCAATAAGTACACCAAAGATTGTCTTTATTTTCTTTCCCTTGGTTATCTCTACCAAAGTGTTTAGGCATATCATTCTTTCCCTTGGAGATGGTTTCAGACATGACTTAGTGAAGAAGAAAAATTCACAGCAATTAAGGCCAGAACAAAACACAGGGACGAAGGCTGCTTGAACAAGACTACAAAACCCTAGAAAAATTCCCTAGAAAAATTCCTAGAGCTCTGATACCATGTTAAAATATTTTGCGGAAACTCTAAAGCTTGCGTTCTTGATAATCAAAATAAGGAGCCTATATATAGGCAACCTAAAACAAACTCGATAGACTCAAATCTAAATAATGTAATCTAATGGATATGACCAAATCTAAATCTAAATATAACAAATCTAAAACTAAATATATAAAATATCTAAAATATCTCAACAACATTATAACTCAGCTATTCTTTGACAATATTTATTGAGATATAGATTTTAAAAATATTTTAATACATTTTAAATTTATTTTAATCATATATATTACATTATAAATCAAATATTGATTAAAAAATCTCATCCAACCCAACATCCAACCTCAACTTCTAACCAACAATGAAACACACCCTTAATAGAACATGATATATCTTTCAAATGCGGAGAATGATACCAGAACAAAGACCCAAAAATGAATGAAATGCATTTTGTCAATAAGTAGCTATTAAAAGTTGTTGACAATTAGCAAACCTCGTTGTATCTGTCCATTGAACATAAGAATGTTCTCCTGCTCCCAGAAGAAAAGGAATATCAGTTCCCTTCTGCTTATAGCACAAGTTCTTATTGCAGGCATTAGCAATCACATATCTGTGAAATTAGAGCATATATGTCAATCACTATAACAGATTGCCTATATGACAGTCCTCACAAATAAATTGCTTAAAACATTATACTGAAAACTTACCTTGGTTGGAAAGTGATAATTTTTGTCCTTCCAGAAAATGGTGCTGCCATCGCAGAGACAGACAGTACATGACCAGAACCCAGGGATGGTTGAGGAACAAGAACACTGGTTGAACCAGTTGGTGGGACCAGGGAGAACGGAGCAGACCATGATTGTTTTATAAGATTTTCTACCCTATGAGGCAGGTACATACTTAGTATAACTAAAACTTCCCCGGAATAAGAGCGTGGATCAGGAGAAAACAAGCAAGGAATGACTCTTCTAGATCCCATTTGCATAGAATCAAGTGAATCTGACTTTGTTTCATTGCTAGAATCTGGAGAAAAAGAATATTAACCAAATGAACAAAAAGGATTTCAATGATATGCTGTCTTTTTCTTGAAGATATATGGGTCAAAAAATATATCACCTGCAGCAGATAAATTCCTATCAGAACAAATAAGAGATAGACCATCTTTTCTTTCACCAAGTACGCTCTGTTTGTCCAAATTATAGCATGAAGGAATGACACAACTATATCCTTTCATCCCACTGACAGAGTTAGAGAGAACTAGTGGAAATCCAGCACAATTATACAATAGAAATGGAACAGAAATAACTATTTCACGAGCTCCAGAGGCTGCATCCATCACTTTCTCCATTGTGACGTATAATGAACCTATTTCATTTCAGATAACCTAGTTAATAAATTTTCATGACATGAAATGGATGGTTTGATGTAAATTGAAGTGGCAATTCTAACATACCATCAGAAAACTCTGCATCAAATTGGATAATTTCAGGTATTGAGAACTTTGTTCCACTAAATTTAGCACTTTTGCTAAATGATTCTGCACGTGGATACTTCAATGTTGAAGGTCTATATCCACTGATTTGGAAAGTTATTGACACATCATGTGAACAATCAATACAATAAAAAGAGGTTTCAACCTGCAATACCATGTGAACGTTAAAATCAAGACAGAAATTTTCATAACATGAAAGACTTTCTACCAAACAGTATCAAAAAAAGGGAAACGTAACATAGAATGCAGCTGCTAATAGCACCATACCTCAGAAAGTAAGGCAGGACGTGTAACACCAGCGTATTCTAATGTGACAGATATTGTCTTCATTAGATAGTTCTTTAACACTATTGGACTAGATAATACCATCCGATACAAGAATCTGTTGTTTGGTATCTCCAAATTGCTTGAGGTTTGCCCATTAACATTTTCAGACTGATCAATCTGTGAGTACACACTCCTTAATCTACCAACTGGAGGCAGGCATTGGCAATTCACAGTAATGCAACAGCGGAATGGATCATTGCTTGGATGAGAAGGGTAGCAAATAAAGGAACGCATAAACCCAACTCTGACATCTTGGGAGATAATACTCGATATTCTGTGAGCTTCACTCCAAAGGTAAGAATCACCAACTGGGCGCCATCTTATGTAACCAACTTCAGCCAAATGAAGAGGTAAAGGAAACTCATGACCTGGACATATTGGACCTAAAACCTGAAAAATTAGATGTTAGGAAACTAAAACTAGTAGATTATCAGCCATTCCTCGCTTGAGTCTGCCACTATGTAAAATCTTTCCATATCTAACGCATTGATAAACTTCTTTTTCCTCCCCAAAAAATAGAAAATAAAAAAAAAAGTCAGCCAACACTCAGAATCAGAAATTATGAAACCAACTAAAATTTTGCATCGTACCTTTGGAGAAACTCCAAATGGAATATCAAATCGCAGTTCAAGTGACGTTGAAGTACCATTCAAAACTACAACCTGAAAGCACAGAATTATTGAGAAGCTAGAGGAACAAAAACCACTATAAAGAGGAAACACTACATATAAACATACAGTTGAATGTAGTCGAATCAACTTTGTAAATCTTTGAACAGAAACATCAATCACCACTGGAATCGCAAACCCTCTATCAGTGACTCCATCATTATCTGCTTCATTTTTTCGGCTTCTTTTTGAGGAATTTTCATCATTATGAATATCAGAGACTGTCGAAGATTTTGAAAACTCAACTTCAAAGAATCTGCGACCAACAAGATCCATTGAAATGGGAACAGAAGGAACAGAGGTTCCCTCTAACTGGAAAGTAACGTGTCTGTGTGCAGCCTCAAGCAACTGCTTATCAGTGAGTTTGTCAGATGACTGCAGTGGTCTATACCGGAAAACCAGTTCTTCAGGGGATTCATTGATGTAGACAAGAGTAGAAGAACCAGGTTGCAGGACACCTTTGGATGGGGACACATCCACATCATCATCTCCAAGTTGCTGTTGGCAGACACAAAATATTAGAGGTAGTGTCGTCAAGTTTTGTAACATGTATGGAGCATATCTTCTTGACTTTGGGCTTCTGATTATGTGAGGGGTGTAGAAGTCTGGGCTTCCTGTCCCTTCCACAAGACACCAAGCATCCTTGATCATTTCAATCATCATCGAGACAACCTTCATAAAGCAACTTGAAGTGTATTAGAGCTACTAAGACCCAACGCTAGTAAACATATAAGAAAAAAACACAAAAGTATAAACGAAAAAAGGAAAACCATGACACAAATCTTCTATGAAGAACAAACTTGCTATTATAATTTTAAATTAACTTATTTAACAAAAAAGATCCAACACAACTGACCAATGCTGCAAAAATATATACAGCATCCATGAAATGAATCTGCCATCAAATATACTCCCTCCGACTGTGATTCCTATTTTTTTTATTTTTTTGTCTGAGATTAAAAAAAAAAATTTAATGCAAAAGTAAAAGTTATGTGGGGATATTTTAGAAAAATTCATTAAGGAATGAGAGTTTAATTGATATTATACGTGTGACATAATGATAGTGGACCGACTCATCTAAAAGCTTAAGCTATTAGGAGTCAACCAACAGGCACCCTCACGGGCAAGGGGGATTAATGCCACCAAACTGAACTTGCTCGTAGACAACAACAAACGGGGACGGTGGAACTCGAACTCGAAACCTAAAGCTCTGATACCATATTATATGTATCATTAATTTATTTATCTACAAATGGGAGTCAACCAACAAAGAGTTAACTTTTGACGAATGAAAGAGAATATTTTTTTAATATAAAGGCATACCTCTATAATGGATTCATTAATGTTCACATTGAGATGTGTCTTAGATTCAAGGTTGATATCTGTCATGATAGCACCACTAAAGAGGGCCCTCTCATCCAGCTTTCTATGCATGCTCAACTGAAGTTTACAGGGCTCCACAAAGGGCTCCCACAAGACCTACAACAGTAGAATGATTAAATGCAAAAGAAAAAGAAAAAATAGGAAGGGTAAAGGGATTAACTAGGCATCAATAACATCCTCGAATAATATTTAACACCACTCCAAAACATGCTCTCACTACTCCATAAAAATATTCAAAACAATTGTTTTCACACACCATTACATAATTCAATTGTTATATAATTATATACGATACAAAATCAACTGAATAAAACATACATATCCCAAAAAATGTATATCGCCCATAAATTTAGCATGACAAACACACTATGTTACATAACCAAAAGAATATTCAAATATATTCCGATAAAAAAAAAAGAATATTCAAATATAGGGAAAATATGTGGTATATTGATGGTTTATTCTACCTTGTCAATGCTGTAGTAGTTCACTTCAAGGTCACACATAACGGAACCTTCAAGCTCATCCTCAGTTATAGTGGACACAAAATTTGAGTTTCTCACAAGAAAGTCCAACAACGGTCCATTTGAAATCTGCCACAGTAACAAAAATTATTCAGAAACTTTATTTATATTTGTTTCAGCAAGTTGCTAAACTTTATTTATGAAGACAATCACACAAAAAACCTAAGAAAAAAATTGAAAAGATGATTATAAGATAGCTTTCTTCAAAAGGATGGAACATGCATTTTTTAATCCAATTGTGTTGTGACACTAGCAAAATCTTTCAGGCAATGTCCAGGTGTGGGGTTCAATTTTTGCTCCCTAAACTTTCGTAGCTAAATATTTACACTCTAATAACAGATTATGGCATAGTCAACCTAGATATTTTGAACGTACAGAACAAATGTTAGAATCATTTTATAATCTTGGAGCTCATGAAAAGCAACATACTTTCAAATCTTGGATCAACAAATCCATGATTTTTGCAGTTGAATTGATAGCCATTGACAATGGGATATCAAGTTATGCCTCGTTTTTTGACACTGTATGTGATCATTGAAAGGACTTTATCAAGGTGGCCAAATCCTCTTCTCTGCATGAGCTGGGTGCAGATAAAATTATTTGAAAGCCCATCTTCAATGGTATTCACATATCACCCTTTCCGTTAGATGAGAAAAACCCTGCTCTTACAGTTGGGCCCTTGGACCTACTATCTGGGAAAAGAATGCCCCCAACCAAATTAAAACTTTCACTTGGAAAGTGGCCCGAGGGCATCTTCAGGTGAGGGATGTCCCTGTTTCTCATGGATACCAAGGCATGGATGCTTCATGCCCCCTTTGCAATAATCATAGGAATCCATTTTGTACCCCTTTCTGCTTTCTCCTGATGTGACTCCTATTTTGATTCATTTTCTCATGATTTAAATATCTTGAGTCTGGCCTTCTTTGTATTGACCAAATGTTTCAGGGGGAGACTCTTGCTAGCAAGAATATAAATCTTGAATTTTGTACCAGAATCATCAATCCTATGGAGAATTTGGAAAGAAAGAAATGGACCTATCATAAAAAATAACGAATTTTCTTTGGTTGGGTTTCATTAAAAGCTCTGGCTCTCCAGCGCTCATTTCCTGGCATGGATATCTATATTCCTTCTCTTATTAACCACATGGAGCATATCTCACCCAAATCATCAAGTTCAAGGTAAGACTAAACCGATGTCCTCATGGAGCCCCCTCCCAAGTTGGAGGAAAAATCAATGTGTATAGTTTGGTTTTCGGGAAGCCCGGGAAGGTAAGTATCTGTGCGGTAATTAGGTATCATTATGGACACCTCCTTTCCATCCAATCACAACACATTGGTTTTGTGGACTCAGATCTATCAGAAATCTTAACCATTGGGAATGCTTTGGAATGCCTTGTTAGTGACCGCGAATCAGATCATTGCGACACATCTGCATAGCGATTCTAAAGTCACCGTCAACTAGATCCTAGGTTCAGCATCCCCTTGGAGGCTAAATTCAGGATCAATAAATTGCACCAGTTTAAGTCTAGATGCCTGTTTGATATTAATTAATGCTAAATATTTAATTGTTAGGTTTATTAGGTGTTAGGTTTGTCTGTTCCTTTCATCTTTGTTGCCGCTTCTGTTTTATTTGTTTCTTCACTTCACTGTAAATTTTCCTATATATACTCATGTATTTATACTGTAAAGTATTAATTCAATTGAACACAATCTACACTTTATTGTCCATCTCTCACAACAATGCTCATCCATCTCCTTTCAGCACATCCCTTGGGGTGTAAACTGAACGGAAATTTTCTTTGCAAAGCACAGTGCACAATGACTTGCCGATCTTGTTTGGCTGGGAATTATTGTTTAACACTAAACAAAGGTTTACAATCATCAGTTGTCATGATCGCCTTAATGATCTAAACTTTGGTTAGCATTCTTAAATAATCCCATCGACTAGGCTTTTCCACTAGCACCAATATACTACATGCATAAACACTTATATAAGTCTTATATTAAACAAGCATAAGGACTATTTCATTGTACTGCTTAGTTAGCATATATTTTTCATTACTCCAAAGTAGCCTCATCTAGCATTTAATACCCCTTGTAGAGACACTACTCTCCCAACAGCTTCAAACTACAAACAAATTTGGTGCAACAACATGAATATTCAGTAAAATCTTAAAATTTCGGGGAGGTTGTGCAAAGCTACTGTTTAAGAGATTTGGAAAGCCCGAAATGCTAATGTTTTCAACAATGAAGTTTTTTCTGCTGACTGGTTCATCCGTTGAGTCCATCTGGCAATTGGTGATTGGTATAAAGCTATCTTTCAAGCATGAATCCTGCCCTAGCTTCTTTGCCAATTTTCATGACATCACACATGTCCATGCTATATCTCCAATTACCCAAAGAAGATGTCTGGACCATTCTCGGTGAAAAAAATTATATAGATGGCTCAGCTTTTGGCAAACCTGGAGCAGCCGGTATTGTAACCGTCATTAGAGACCATCAAGGCCATCTCTTCTTCATCATTTACAAGTTCACTGGCATCGAGGATTCAAACAGAGATTTTAGCCATTGTTCACACTCTTGAAGCTACTCTAAAACACCAGTGCAGTACACTCCCAAAAATTGTGGTTAATGTGATTGAAAAAAATGCTCTTGCATGGATCCATGGCTCTTCCCACCTTGAAAACTGAACTGACTTTAACATGCTTTGACTCTCATTAAAAAGATCATTCTCATTATATTCCAGCATATTCTCATAGCACAAAGGTATATGCTGATTTATCATCTAAAGCTTCCGTCGATCTTTCCGATTCTTTCATATTGCGGGTAAAGAATACTTCTCTATAATAAAATTACCCCACCCCCCCCCCCAGCCCAAAACAAAAAACAAAAACAAAAACAAAACAAAAGAAAAAGAAAAAAAAAATCATTTAGTAGGTCATGGAGAGCCAGAATGGTCTCAATTTCAACAATGAAGAGGTCTCCCCGAACCTAGTCATCTTCCGGATCCCCTCTTGATCAAAGACTCGTAAAGAACAAAATTCCAAGGCATGATCTCACTGAATGCTTTTCTAGTTAACAATCTACTGAAAATTATCCACCCACAATCTACAGGAAACTAGTCTTCCAGACGGAGTGGTGGAAAGTAGAAACTGATGCTCTACTTATTAAAACCAATCCCAACAAGCATTGGTGGATGTGTTACCAAGAATCACCACAAACATATTATCTTCTTTACGTCCAAGTCAACAGATATTGCAGATTCAAATCACTCAGAAATTTTCTCTGTCATCCAATTAATAGACCATCTGATCCAAGAACAGATCTGCCCCTTCAAATTATAGTAGAATGCAACTCTAATAATTCCCATGGCTAAATTGATGGTGATATCCCGCCATGGAAGCTTCATTTCATTCTGAAATAGAGAAGTTACGACACATTGTCTCTATATGCCTAGCTATCACTTCTCACTATAGACCTAATCCAGTCCTGATGATTTTGATGCCTTGCATTGTGCTTCAATATTGGTTTTATTTCCACTTACTAAAAGTTTGTAACTTAAAAATTGTTTTACTCTCTAATAAAATCTCAATACTTTCCAAAAGAAATAAAGTATTTTACAGCACTTGGCAAAGAAAGCAAATAAACATAAACTAATTTCCAGAGAAATTATATCACAGAAATTTAACCGTACAAGTGATAGTATTGTTCCCAAGTAGCTTTTTCCTTTTTCTTTCTTTCTTTTTTATTTTTTTTTGGGGAGGGGGGGGGGGGGTTGGGGGGTTGGGAACAAGTTTCCAAGTACACTTAACTAGGTGTTACCAATTCAATGTGCAACAACACAAAAATCTCAAACTGGAACCTATTACAGAAAAGGACAACTGTACTTAGTTTCTTGGTTAATTCTATAATGATGAATCCGAAAGGCATCTTAGTTTCTTGGTTAATTCTATAATGATGAATCCAAAAGCATCCTGTATTCATGAAAAAAAAAAAAAGAGAGAAAAGAACTGCAAGACTTCAACCACAAAGGAAAAATTAAAGTTTCATGATGCGTGTACCTTCCAATCTGTCAAAAGAAGAGAAAACTTTCTTAGCTGCACCTGTAAGTCCAGTCTTGCAAAATTAAATCTAGAAGGCACTTCTTCTGATTGCTCAAACCATGTAAACTGGAGGATGCATAGAATTTGGTTTGAAAATGACAAATCCATGCTGTCACAACGAACCATAAACTCCATGTGTGCCTTATCATTCTCATCTTTATAGATATGAGCCTCAATATTGGCTTTACACAGTTGAAAAAGTGGCCATGTTGTTGCATTTCCCCCATAGAACAACTTTACCACACCATTCAAATATTCAGAACTAACTTTCAGCTTCACTGTTTTTCCATCAGCAATCAATTTACTCTTTCTAATTTGCAGACTAACTAAAAGAAAGCAATTCTGTTTATAACATGGAAGGCTGTTATATTCATCTGATGGCTGCTTTTTGTGAAAATGGAACCAATCAAAAGCCATATCCGTGTCTTGGGCAACTAGTGCAGGAATATGAAGAGCCAAACCAACATGCTCTAAAATCAATGTGCACAGACCAGAAGATTGTCTAACGTTCAAATATGGCATTTGAGCTGAGCTTTCACCTGATGCAGATTTGTCATGGTCAGATGGGATTCCAGGAATTGATTCTGATGATGAACCAGAGGTCGGTGCAGACAGATGTGTGCTGTACACACTGAGTAGACCAATAATCTCATTCCAGTCATGCAAATGTAGCCAGATATCCAGGCAATAAAATGAGACAGTAATCAGATTTTCACCAGAAACTGATACTACAAAGATCACATCAAGAACTGATGAGCCTGACCCAGGACAAGAAAATTCAGAAAGCATGACAGAATGTGATAATGAAAACAGTGAAAGAGAATAGAATGATACTTCAAGACTGCTAAGTCGGTCATTGATCAATGACAAAGAACAGACAAAATGCATCTCTGCCTCCGCCATAAGTTCAGAACAATTGGAGTCTTTTTTCAACTGGTGAAATCTTATGCACAATGACATCACACAGAACCTCATGTCAGTTAGTGTCATATTTGAAGTTATAGGAACAAGTGGAGTACATTCCATCATTTGTTTCTTGGCCTGAAGAAATTGCTGAACATCAGATGTAAAGAGCTTGGATTCTTCATCCACCTGTGAGAACTGATTGATTACAGAATCTAGTGCCTTCAACCCAGCAACTACATGTAACTCTGTAAAATAGAGAAATAAGCACCAAGATTATAAAAGAGCAACAAGGAAGTATAATAATCCAAATATTTTGAAATTATTAGGTTTGCGCACCTTCCGCAAGAAGCTGGCAGTCTTTGACCATAGCCATGATACAGTTAGGATATGGAGATCCATCAGACATAAAATCATAGGGCATTCTGATCCAGAAATCCGCTGTAAGTGATGCAATTAAGATATGGCTTTGATACATATTCAAGGGACTGCCATTATATTTGTCCAGTACTAAAAGAGAAAGAGATAGATCACATCCATGTAGGTCTAAACAGTCATTTCTATGAGAAAATTTTCCAGTATCAATGCAGCATAGAGAAGGAATATCCTCAGCTATAGAATTGCATTTGCAATATTGAGAGAAAGCAATGGATAATTGTGCAATATTAAGCTTGAGGAATTCAGACCAATCACTATCAGCAGGAGTAATTACATTGCAGTTAGCAATCTTGAAATGATATGTGATAGTGTTAGATTCCTCAGCAGCTACTGCATCTGTTACTTTTTCCTCTGCATTAGCACTCCAATCCGGTAGGGAAAAGTAACCAATTATCATAGATATATAATCAGGAGGCAACATGCAGGAAACTTGTTGGATATCGAAACACATTTCAAGATGGAAATTATGTAAACCAGCTCTTCTCTGCTTCAGATGCAAGTTGAGAATTGGACATTTTGAGGACAAGGGCTCCCAAAGAAATTTAGTAATTGTTTGAGGCCACCATGATGAAGATAATACCATTTGCTCAGTGAAACAAACCATATCTAACGAGTCTGCAGAAATGGTAAGCAATGACTTTGCCAAGGGCACAATAATAGTGCTAACAACGCATAGGGAATCATGAAAATGCACAGTGATGCTGCAGAGATTCACGTTACCAAGCAACAACTTTGAACACCTATCTACACTTTCCACATGACCAAATTTTGAGGGTCTCATCTTCTGGCCTCTTAAATGGACATTTTCACTGAATTTAAGCTTCATATTATCAACTGTAGAATGAAGGTCAGAAAGAGGTTTCAAGTTCTCAAATCTAGTAAAAGGGAAGTGATCAAACAGAATGCTAGTTGGTTCAGAAGAGCCTATTTCACTTAGAAAATCATAATTGTCAAGATTGGAACCATATCCTGGTGCGTTTTCATCCTGAACGTCCAATACCTCACTACAAACTTCTGAAGTACCATGGGCTGAGATTCTGTCTAAAAAGTCAATGAACTTCCCAATAATAAAGGGATATAAATGAATCTCAAGATCACATGTGTATATTGTATATTTCTGAATAAACGACTGAATGTTTCTCTGAGAATCAAACTGCAGAACAATGCACCCATCAATAAGTGAGCCTTTGTCACCCAAATCTGTGCTTTCACCTTCAAGATTGATGCTCATGTTATGTTTACTTACAGACTCAACAAGTACATGGCTATCCCAATCACTGTTCTTAGAACTAGCAGTGATCTGGCATGCCTGCACAGAGGCCCAGCCCAAAGCAGAATCACTTTGATCATACCTGCAATAAACGTAGCCAATTCATGTGTTGAGGAATAAAGTTGAATAGTAGTGTCACTTGACTTATAGATTAATACTACAATAGTAAAACTACAAAGGAAAAATATATCATAACAAGAACTCCAAGTCTAATATAATCGCGAAAGATAGGAAAGAAGACTTGATAATATCTTCTTTGAAGAGAGAGAGAGAGAGAGAGAGTTCGTAATGTAAAAATGATATGAAAACTACTCCCAAAACCTTCTCTCAAGGCTACCAGTCTAGTTAAATATGAGTACTTTTAGAAAGCGATCGATTCACATGATCAGAGAAAGAAGAGTGGAACACAAGACTACTACTTATATTAAACTAGTTGGAAATTGCATTCAGATATATTTAACTCCTCGTCTTCATGTCAACACAAGAGCCTCTGTTCGAGCAAGACACTTTTTCATTAATGAGTGACAATGGGCAAAACCTCCCACCACTCTATATCATGCTAAATGATTATCTCAATTCTTACCTAAAAAACATAAATTGATAGGATGATGCATTTTAATTTTTAAAGAATAGTATTTCATTTCTGACCCAATATACAGCCACAAAAGCTTTATTTTAATATTTTATAAGTTTGAAATAGAAGATTTTTTTCTAGAGGAGATTTAATATATTATGATGAAACAAAGAATAGATGGCATGTAGATAGAACCTCCTAGCAACAAGCATAAACGAGAAATATAAATATAGCAAGCTCCTTAGTGAAAGAGTCTTGAGATCATTTGCACTTTTAAGAGTGTACTGGAAATCAACTAAAGGGCATCCGAAGACGGAATGTTGTAGCCGTTGTATGTCCAGATTAAACTCAACAGAATCGAAACCCCTTGATCTAACCTAAAGCATTTTTTAGTAGCACTAAACAACAAACTCAGGAGCAACCCCAATTGCCCAATAAATAAGCACTCAAAAACTTCGATTATTGCCAATATTGTTGCATCTTTTGAGTTGGTTATACTGATGTATTTCGTAAAAATAAAGAGTACATAACTATAATAGACTCGGATTAATGCCAAATACCAACTTGCCATGCATTGCCCAAAATTGATTGTCTCAGCACATTGGTACTGCTAACTCAAATGATGCAAAAATCTTAACCATTATGAGAGCTTTGAACTATCTTGTCAGGGCTCATGTTGGGCCCGCCCTAGTGTGTGTCTTGAAAGTGACTCTAAGATTACTCTCAGTAGGATTTATGGAGCTGCCCCTCTTCAGAGCTAAATCCAAAGATTAATAAGTGTTGGTATCTCTCAGCTAGATTGGAACATATGTTCCTCAAATGGTTTGACAAGCAGGGTTTCCATTTGATATCTTCCTACATCAACTTATCTTAATTCTATAAAATTATCTTGTGCTTATAAAAAATAAATAAATAAAATATGGACGAAAGGATAAAAACAATGGTTGAGTAAAATTACACAAAAAAAATGAACTATAATTTAAACTAGGCATAGTCCTGGCATTTATCAACTCTAATGAAGCTTCAGTAATTATCAAGGAAAGCTAAATTTGACACTTTCAAAGAAGAAATTTATAAATAAACAAGAGAAGGAGAGAACAATCAGAGTTAAAATACACAAATGACCTCGTGTGTGCCTCATGTTTCAAGTATTCCAAATAATTTTGCATAACAATTCTAACTCTGTGACCAAATAATTTTGTATATCAATTTTATTTTGTCTACAAGAAATCACTGGCAATACTCCTTTACAAAAGCACAACTCAAAGGTCAAACGTTATATTTGGAAAGTGTTGGGTAATATAAATGACTATCTCACCTAAAAGTTTAAGCTACACACCATTTATTTATTTATCTACTAACGGGAGTCAACCAACACGCCCTCTCCCGTGCAAGGGAGATAAATGCCACCAAACAAAACTTGCACATGGATGACGACAAATGGGGGATAGTGGGACTCGAACTCGAGACCAAGGCTCTGATACCATTTTAAATGATGTAAATGACAGCCTCACGTATATCTAACATAAAGGAATTGAAGTTATTAGAATATTGCTAAATAAACTAACCCAAGACAACTTGAAGAAAACCACCAACACACCAGCCCAATACAATATTTCATAGGTAAAAGGCCACAATGTGTTTCCAAGCATCTAATAATCCTGAGGATCTGTAAATGCCAAAAATAACTGACATCTTAAGAGTAGAGGTTCTTGCAGCATGCCCAAAATTCATACTAGAGTACAGTATCATGAATTTGAATTACAAGGAGACAGAAAGTATTACAAAACTTACCAAATGCATAACTTCTGAAAATAGAGGTTAAGGGTACAGCCTTCGGCCACACTATCTTCAAGATCAAGAAGTATGTGAATTTCATCAAAACAAGCATCCATAGTGAGCCAAGAGCACATGGAGGCCTTTAAAACATTTGACTTCAGTTCAAATGAATCTGTAGTCTCTGATTGAGGAATAAGTGTATAAAACTGGGAAATAAAACCCATCAATTTCTCATATACTAGGGGGGAGAAGTGCAAATGAAGGGTGGCCACCCGCATAGAAACCTGAAAGCCAAGCCATATTCAATTATTAATAACATCTATAATCAAAGAGGATGTCAAGAATACAATGTTGTAAAGAGAGATATTAAGGACTTAAATATAGCACTGCAGGCATTACGGCGCCATCACATAAAATTCTCATACTTCCCTAATCTAACTCTACGGTGAATTGATGCAGTAATGAAGATCATCAAATTAATCAAATGAAAATCTCGATGCACCATGTAGCATGATGGAGACAGATGGAGAACAATCAGTCAAATAAAAAACAACAATTTTTGTAGTAAGATGTTCATGTAAGCTATAGTAAGTAACTGCCCCAAGTACATCACTTCTTGTGAAATTAAAACACTGTAAGTGGAGTATAATGCCATCACCATGATTCTATCTTGATTACCCGAAACCAGGAGCATGAGAAACTAAAAGAAAAGCCATCAACAAATAGGGTAGCCACATGAGTACTATCAATAATCCACAAGATGAACAAGAACATAATCAGGTGTAGGAACAGTGGAACTACCAAGTGTCTGATCACAAACATTATCAATTTCAAGTTGAAGATGAACAAGACCTAGAAAAACAAGAACTTATCCTACGCAACCTCTAGATTCATAGATCGGGTAGATATGAGAAAATGAAGTTCCTATTGATAAATTTCAGCAAACGTAAGTACATAAATCAAAAGAATGGTCTCTAAGAAGGACAAGGCTAGAAACAACATGATAATAGCACTGAATGTCATTATATAAAACACAACAGCCTTTGTCCACACTTCCTGACAAGTTTCAAATGACTAACATGAAGTAAGTAGAGCAAAGTTTAATGGCTTCCACAAAAAAAGCACACACAACTGAGCATCAACTTTCGATCATTCAAACTGGTTTTTGTTGAAAGTTACAATTCCGTTTTAACCGATTGATCTTACTGACCTTGACCCTTGAATCAAAGATAGCGGAGCCCAAACGTCGAGATTGGGGGGGCTAAAATTAGGATTTTGGGATAGAGAATTGGGAACGTACAGCATTAAAGATATAATTGAAGGTACAAAAATATCAAAAAGATAATTTTTTTTTTTAAAAAAAAGGATATAAAAAATTTGTGCTTCGGGAGGGGGCAACGGACCCTCAAGCTCTCCATGTGGCTCTACACTGTCAAATACAGATCAAGCCTATGATCTATAGTTGGATGAACCACGAAGCTTATTGTTAGTAATCCTCAAAACTAGGTAGTTTAGACAAGTTAGCCATGAAGATAGCAACAAAAGGTTTTCCAGTGGACATGTTGCAGCACATGAGGCACACTTGCGATCTTGGCATTAGGAATGCACCAGGTACGGTAGTTTGAATCATAATAAGGGTGGCTCTTACCATGTAAATATGCGTTCTATATGAAATGATTAAGTCTGTACAAAAATTAACACAAATAAATAGAATCATGCAAAGTTAGCTAAATAGACCTACTCTAACAAATATGAATGAGTTTATTCAGGATATGTAAATAATGCATACATCAAATTCCTGGAGGATTGGTTCATTCGGTAAAATGCAGGATGCCAAGCTTGCTGTAGCACTAAATTTCTCTAAAAGCATGATTGATTCTGAAGGCAGCTTCAGCTTTATCTGCAAAGCATCATCATATATATTATGCATAATCCTTTTGACAGCCTTCAACTTTGAAACGACAGAACCACTAACCTGGAAATCATCTATCTGCATATCAAAGTGGTCATACAGATCCTGAAGCTTAAAACCCATTTGATTATCATCGACACAGACAGAGTCACTAACATATTTTCCATGAAGACGAGGCATATCTCCAGTGGAAAGACTATAAGACTGTATTTCAGATTTGGATGAGAAGGAAACAGCCGATGCTTCTATTAACTGCCAGATTAAGGTTACAAACATAAAATAAACAGAGAAACAAAATTGACATACTCTGACACTACTGCAGAAGAAAAAAGTAAAAAAAATTATTAATTACAACATAATTCTACCCAAAACAGATTGTGGTCTTAATGAATTTCTAAGAATCAGCTGGAAGTTTTCTACATGGTGAAACAAATACAAAAATCAGCTTAAAGCTCATGGCAGTGCAAGGTAAAACAGATAAAAGTCTATGCTAAGACATGGAAGAACATGTACCAACATTCACAGTGACAAAAGGTTGCCTACTCATCTTCGCCCATAACCTTTTTTGGATGACAGATTTGGATGTGCCAGTAGCAGGCAAACAGAACATCTAGAGAATTAAACTCAAAGGAAAGTGCTAGAATTCAACCAACAGACTTTCACAAGCAATTCAGAGTACAAACACAGAAGACACAGGCCATTGCAAAATTAAGCTGTTATTCTCTGTTAGAAATATTGTATAGAGGCTCAGTTTGTATTTAAAATGTAGTGTAGGGGCTCTTAAGGTATTTCAGATATTTATTGTATATTACGTAGGGTTTTGTGTAACCAAAATAATTGAGTGAATAGATTTAACTTTTCATGGTATCAGCGTCGGAAAGTCCTGTGTTCTGAGTCTCACTGTCAGCATTCGTCGTCGTCCATGTACAAAATTTGTATGGTGGCATATATCCCTTTGCACGTGAGGAGCGCATTGGTTGACCTCCGTATATATAAATAAATTGTTGAATATTGTCCCACATTGATAAATATTTGGAAACTCCCTTGACTTATAAGGATGAAGGGCCTCTCCACCTATCACAAATTGGTTTTAAGTTGGAAGTCCGGATTCCTACTTTACATGATATCAGAGCCATGGTGCCCGTATTGGGTATATTGATCCGGTATGAATTTTTGAGATTATCAACTCGGGGGAGTGTTGAATATTGTCCCACATTGATAAATATTTGGGAACTCCCTTGGCTTATAGGGTGAAGGGCCTCTCCACCTATCACCAATTGGTTTTCGGTTGGAAGTCCGGATCCCTTTTTAACATAAATAAATGTGTATCCTTCCGATAAAAAAATAAATAATAAAAAAAAAATAATGTGTATCCCTAACAGCTTACACTTTTAAGTGAGACGATCATTTATATACATCCTCTCTCCAAAAAGATATCTTAATAATGTTTTCCATAGTTTCCCCCCCCCCCCTTTGGTCCTCCTCCCTTACCACCTTTGGAGACTACAATGCCTCCCTAACTTGGTATTCACAACGAGCTCCAAACTTTCAATATAAATAAATTTTCTTCTCTCCAATAAATATATATCTTGTTGAAATATATTTTAGTTAGATAGATTTGTTAATATTACTTAGATTTGATAGGTACTCCCTCCGTCTGCCAAATTTACTCTTGCTTTCTTTTTTTGTCCGTTTATTAAATTTACCCTATTATTAATTTTGGCAAAGTCAAATATTCTACTCCCTCCATCCCAGATACCGTGTCTACTATACTGTAGATACGGTATTTTAGGAATGGTGTAATTAGTAGATAATTAAGAATGTATTAGTGAAAATAATTATTCTATAATATAAATAATTATAAATTAAGATTAAGATAACTAATTAGTTTAATTAAAATTAAAAAAAAAATAAAATTAAAAAATTTATAATGAGATTAAAGTGCGTAATCATTTTCCAAAAAAGGAAAATGACATGGTATGTGGGACGGACAGAAACGGCAACGTGGACATGGTATCTGGGACGGAGGGAGTACTATTTAACTATTATTCTCCATTCAACACTTATTTATCATAATTGTCATTACTTTTATTCTATTCTCTTTTCATTCACTTTAATTAATAACTAAATTTTCAAAAATACCTCAAACTACTTTTCTGACTTCTTTTAATAAAATATTTAAATTTCTTAATCTTCGTGCCGGCTCCAATAGGGCTAATTTTTGCGGACGGGGGAGTATTACTTAAGCATATCAACTAAACTAGGTTATTATTATTTAGACATATATACTATATTAAGTTGTTATTATTTGAATTTATTCTTTTCGCATCCGGGTGATAAATAGAAGTTAATTTCATTATTAAAACAACTCAAAAATTCTCTAGAAATGTAATATACAATTAGAGCCACATTTTCCCTGGGTACATACCTTGAAATATACCCAAAGGAGTGCCTATCTAATCTCAAATCTACTACCACTTCAAAAATATATACCCCATTGGAATTGCATCTATTTGTCACTTTTCCAATATATCTTACTTATACCACTACAGTCACCGTATACCTGACTCTAAGGTGACAATTGCTACCAAACATTGTAATCAGAAGTAGCGATGAGTTATTTGAGTCTGTCAACATTTGGTCAACGCAATCAACAATTTTGCTGTCGCCAACTCTGGTTGCATGTGATAGTGCGTCCAATGTCCAATAGCTAGAATTTTCCGGTGATAACATACTGGAATATTTCCGACCTACTTGACAACTTGTTTCCAGTTTTTTTACGTTCTTTTTTCTTTTTTCAATTATCTATCTGGAGTTTTTACTTATTAAAGTTTAGCACATCCACAACAACAGAGGATCGTTAGTGTCACTGCTGTGACATAGGATCTTCGTTATCAGAAACCCTAATTTGATGTTGTCGACTCGTCGCAGCAACATAAGATCGTTGTCGCTGCCACCACGACAGAGGAATGTGACCATAAAATCCTAATATTACCAAAACTTTAGTTTTTTAGAGTTTAGCACTGCTTTTGCGACAGAGGATTGCTCGTATGTTCCTATGACAAGGATTGCCGCCATTACAAACCTTAATATGGTCAAAATCCTAATTTTTTAGGATTTAGCATCGCCGCCACGACAAATAATAAATTTGAATGCTTAGAGATTGATGCCCAGTTATGAAGTCCGTTCATATTCAAACTCCACCTCCGGTCTCTTTTGCCAAACTAAGTTCATTTCTACAGCACCAACTCGAGTTTGAGGCGGTGTGTTTGAGATATATTTTAGTTAGATATTTTGGTTTTGATAGTTATTATTTAGGCATATGTACTAGAATAGGTTGTTATTATTTGAATTGATCCCTTTTGGATAAGTCTATAAATAATCCATAATTTTATTAATAATAAACAATTCAAAAATTCTCTAACATGTAACGTATGTATCATAGATTTTGTTCAAATATATTGTTTTATAATTGAAATTTTAAGATCTTCTGGAAGTTCAATTATTATAATAATAATTAGAAATGTTAATCACAATTTCTTGTTAACACATGTCTTCACACCCTTTTACCATTTTCTTATTATTTAAAAGGAGTACTTAAGAAATACTAATTACTCACAATGAGTATGCACAAATTCTAAAACATGAATTGTTAGACATGAACAGTATAATAACATAATGCGATAAATCCACTAGAAATTTCATGCAATTTCTTTTGGCCAAAATAAAGAAAATTATTTGAAAGAACACATAGGATTTGTTCTTCCTAATTTTCTTTTCTCACGTTTTCTCAAAAATATTAATACACAACACACATTCACTATTTTTATATTCCCTACACGATTTTCTATACCTCACATTAAAAAAAAAAAAAAATCCAATATTCTCACAAAACAAACACACCCATAAGAAATAAAATATAGACAACAAAGGACTAATTGCTTCAAATATTTTTTTTTTTATGCTCTTCAGACTGGGATCAGAAGTGAGACAGGAAAGATGTGGTCAGCTTCATGTAGACTCTGTTAATTGATTCAAATTGTACCGGAATATACCAAAAGCAAACAAGAGGCTTCTGTAGCATCCCTTTGTTTGATATAAGAAACAAAAGAAAAATTCTAACATATCAAAATGCACTTATGAGGAGAAAATATAATAGAGAGTTGCAATTTTGCATTGGCAATGAAATGAATGAAGTGTACATACCATATTACATTCTTCACCATCAGAATATTCCAATGGTATGCTGACAACAATATTCAAGAGATTAATATCCCAGATTATCTTCTCACGAATTGATAAAACATAACTGCAAAATTAATAGAAGTGACAGTTATATAAATCCAAAGACCAATAGGCAAATGGCAACGACAGACATGTCAGAATTACAAGAATAGCTGAAAGAGCAGGCATCAAACATCCTTGAACCATAAACATACTCAATTTTTGATATAAGACGCGAGTTAAGGTCATCAATTCCATGTAGGGACAGCATGATCTGCAGCAGTAACACAATTACTTGTCAAGAAAACATTAACTTGCTCAGAAAGAGCAGAGAGGTTTAATAGTTACATCCAGAATAAGGAATTAGGCATACTGCTGTTTCAAGATTACATAATTCAACAATAAAAATATAATGAAATGATAGAAATGCCCACAGAGAACTTTGTTTGATGATGTGTTCAACTGACATGTCAACAGATAGGTTTTATTCAAGACAACATTTATTAATACAATATGAACAAAAAACACATAATACATGACCATTTAGAATAGCGAGGAGAATGACCGTTAATACTATTACTTAGTCGCTTAAAACACCTAAAAGCATATCAGAATCGCGGTTATTATAAAAATATCACACAACTTAAATCAGTAATGAAGATATAATCAATCCTTCAAGGAGAAAGAATGCAGCACCGGCCATCAAGACATGCACAAATCCACTAATCATTTTTCTTTGTGCAAAGAATTACGAACAAGTTGAAACAAACAGAAAAGAATAGAAATTTATCATTACTCTTTGATGCTGAAAGCTCAATTGCTCCATTACAAGTAAGAAATCCAAGATATTCTTCACAAATTCTGAATCGCAAAATACTTCAGTTGGACTAAGCATCACCTGAGTAGAGAACTGCTAATCAACAACCAAAAAAGCCTGCTGGCTGATGGTGGTGTAGTAGTAATGTTTGGGAATTTAAAATTATTAAACATTACAGAAATTAAGGAACATAAGAGACCTTGACAGATGAACCAAGATTAGAGCTTGCAGGGGAGAGATCAACATTGATGATTAAGGAAGGCTGTCGTTGCTCAACAACAACATGCTCGGAATTGACCTGAGTACAGAACAGCTATTTATTTTACACTAATAGAGGGAGGGGAAAATAAGAAATAAAAAATAAAAATATTCTCACTATCTCTAGCAGAAACCAACTTAAAACCAACACAAATGAATTCCCTTATTTGGGTCAAAGTTAGTGCAGAACATATAATTAAACATGAATGATACTTTGGGTCAATACTATTCCCTTCTCACTATCTGTAGAGTATGACTCAAAAAAGCTCTGGTTGCACTCATGCGCTGCCCCGCTTGGAAGCAGAACTCGAACATCAATATGCTTTGCCTCTACAAATCTAGATGTCCCAGCATCACTTTATACCACATCACTCATACATCAAATAGATTGGCAGACCACTTTGTGAAACGCAGGCCTAGAAGATTCAATGATCTCACAATTTGGCTGTAACTTCAGTTTTTCTAGTTTTTATTCAGTTCTCATAGGCAAAGGGTTTGTTCACTTTGTTTTTTTGGATTAATATATTTTTTATATTAGGTATGAAGAATTGTGTTGATAATATAAAAATAATACTATTTGTTGAATTATTGACTTTTATGAGTTGATAAAGTATATATTGTGTTAATGTGTATGTATATTGTATATTTTTAATAAAATTCATGGGAAATCATTCCATTCTTCCTAAAAACACTAAGTGAACGAAAAGTCACTCATTTACCAGACTAATTTTCAGGGCCCCAAGTTTCTTAGTCCCTTTATGTGTCTCCCTATGCCTCTAACTACAGGAGCTCCTTCTCAAAATAAAAAAAATAAAAAAAAAAGAAAGAGAAAAAAAAAAAGAGAAAAAAGAACCCAGTTACTTTCAGAATCATTGGATACAGACATTATAGTTTTTTGTTGCTTCAAGATTTATGATATTACCTTGTATAAGAATATGAGCACACAAGTAGCACAGAGGCACTGATGATTACTGGCCTAAGGTGTTGATGAGAATTAGACGAGAACACAGTTATTGGTCTTAAACACAAAGATGCAACAGAAACCTAATAACCTAAAGATAACCAAGCAATCAATCTTTGTATTGGAAAAAAATGCTCTGAATCATCATTTGGCAGTCATAAGACCATCCTATAGAAAAGCCAAGTAACATAGGGGGAAAATGGAAGGTTGAAGGCATCTATACTCTTTTTGTGGTTATGTTGATACAATATTAGCTGCAGAGTTTTCAGATTTCTAGCTCTTTTGGTTTCCTTCTCATCTATTGTAGAAAACCCATACTTCAACAATAATACATTAGGAGTTTTTTACTTTGTGTGCGTGTGGTTTTCCCAATTTTGTACTGTTCTATCCTAATTTTCCTCTAAAAACATCATATTCAACACTCATTTTCTATAGAAAACATCACATCCAAAAACTTTTTCAACTCAGAAACATCAAAACCGGAAAAAGAAAAAGCATAGCACACTCGAATTAAACAAACCCCAGCTTTTCCCTCCACTATCTATAGATATATATATAGATATAGAGCTGCAGGACTTATAGCATGAATCCAAGAGCTGATTTATTTGCATGAAACATACGCTAACCTCTTTAGTTGACAAAATAACTTGATGCTTGAATGGATTAAGCAAATGACAAAAGTTGACAGAGGCTGTAATACTTGCAGATTTCTCCCAGGCCCTACCCTCAACAGAGATCTGCTTCAGCATCAAATCAGCAATAGCCTGTCCCAGTTTCCTAATTTACAATTGTATAGTTAGAGACCACATATCACGATTATAGAAGACCAGATTAGTCATTTACCCAGAAGTAAATAACATTTTCAAAGAAAATATAGAAATAGCTTCTTTATTAAAGAGAACATAACAGGAAGAGAAGGGCTGCTAGGTTCAAACATTATAAAATAAATCATCGCCCATGGAGTCACTGTAAGACATCATTATCTACAAGTACGTTAAACGAAGAGAATATCATAACATTAAGATGAAAAATTTATTATATGCACAAGGAAAGAAGGAAAGTACGGATGCATTCATCAACCTGTTTTCTAATAAAAGACACTGTTAACATTACTTAGAAGAAGAGTTTATTTATTTATATATGCAACCAACCTAAAAGTGTTGAGTTACAGCCATTTGATACAGAACGGAACTTCCTCTGGGTAAGTAAAGGATCAATGACATTAAGGCAGCAAGTACCAAGAAAACATTGCGTGCACATGGGCATGGCACAATGAACCACATAGCTCTGACAAACTCAAGCTGGACATAGTGGAAACGATACAAAAAGTTATGCTCCAAGTACATGATCAATGTTTTTTAGTATAAACTCACTTTAATGTTTAGTGTTGTTCAAGTTGGGATTAGATTAATTTAAGCTTTACCAAATATGCCTACCAAATTAGCTTTTCATGGTCCCACTATCAAGTTCCTTCGCCTTTATTTTTATTTTTATTTATTGGCCAGGGATGTCAATTTTTTAAATAGATGATTAAACCATAGGGCAAGAAACAAGGTAAGCCTGACCAGTGACCAGAAACAAGATATGGAAGGAGACTAGAGCCACGCAACAAAATCAGGACAACCCCAAGCCCCTCTTTTAGCAAAATGGTTCCCTGAAGAGTTCACACACCTAGGTACATGACATCTTGAGATAACCCCTAAGGTTGTTACTGTCAAAGTTTAACCTCCATGAAGCTGAGTTTCCATTGATCGAGCTCCTCTCCTATTGTGATGGTTCTAGCTAAATGGTTAGAGAACATTTTTCTCTTGAAAAGAAAAGGAAAAACAACTAATATGATGGAAGAACTGAAATAGGCAAAGCACGATGAAGTTAGGTAGAGAGATTTATGAAAAGAATACAATAAATACTTTAATACAACCAAATTGAAGTCAAATTCAACAGTAAAATTATGCTAGACTATTTTATAACCCATAAAGAAAATAATAACTCTATAAACCTCTCAAACTGAGAATAAAGTCTTTTTGGGGGATATTCAGCATTCAAATTTAACTCCTATAGAGTGTATATATATCCAAACAAAATAGCACCACATTGTTGATAAGTGGACAACCCATAATCAAATTAAGTTGCATTGAAAATAGTAGATAACCAACATAACAGAAGTCTAGAAGTTACAAATAAATGGAGACTGGGAAATAGCTGGAAAGTAAGTACAAGGAGTAATATTTTATCAATTCCAAGAAGCCAGCCCCAAAAAATCGGACTATGTGGTTTTGGGGCAGTAGCAATGCTGAAAGGAGAGAGTGATTAGTTTGAAGTTTAGGGTTACCTTAGCACCAAGAGTAACTATGCTAAAACCATATCAATTATTATTAAAGACAGTTGGAAGAATTAGACATGGCTTTGTTAATAAAAATAGATTAAATTTATTTATAGTATAAGATAAATATTATCATTATAAAATCTGCTATTTCCAAACATAACTACCTAATAAGAATAAGAATAAGAATTTAAAACACATGGAAAATATTATAATATAAATAAATAAATAAACAAAAAACCTAACAATATAATAATTGAGAAATCATACAATTAAAAAGCATCTCTTAAATAGTAATAGCTCTAACAATTAAATTTTGAAAAAATGACATAAACATATGTTAAGTCTACAATATTCAACACTTTGTGTTTCTTAGTTATCATCTCATCATTTTAACTTGTTGGATAATTATAGATCACATATCAAAGACAAGAAGGGAAATAAGTTGCAAACACTTATTTTCAGAACTCAAATGCCCACATGTTGTCAAATGAAAAAGCACTCCTCTTTCAGGAAAACAAAACTATTTGTCTTAGGCATTAAATTTAATAAATATAATGGCACTACCACAAGATGGTTACTTGATCCAAGGAAATATGAGACTACAATAGTGAATTCACCATTTCTGGGATAACAAAGGAAAAAATACATTGTCATCTGAAATCATACTACAAGATTACAAACTCTTGATCAAAACTCATCAGAAAATTTCTTAAGTTATAAATAGAGTAACAAAAAATATCCTAAAAAATTGGAAGGTATTGAAGATGCTCATTCAAAACCTCCCCGAGAGTCAAGGTAGTCAAGATTGTTCCAATCCAATGTCCACTATGAAGCAGAAATATTTGAAGATGTATGAACTATAAAAATTTCACCCGAGGTTTTAGAAGTAAAAGACATACATGCTTCTAAGTGTTGTCCGAAACTCAGAGATGTTCACTTTCATTGAAAATATGTAAACTACGTCATTTGCTGCCAAATCCCCAGTCGATGTAGAAGGATGGAATTTTGTTGCCTCGTATATGTCCTATATAATAAAAGCACGACTTTAGAAACTAACAAAACTACACAAGGCTCCATCAATTTCTCAATGGTTAACTATTGTTGATACAATGTATTTATGTAAGCAGATAGAGATACCTCAATCACATCATCTGAAACCACACCAGAAAACTGATTGAAATCATCTGTTCCCCCAGCTCCAAGCATGCCATAAGACAGCCAATTCAACCATCCTCGAGGCTTGCTAGGAGGATGATCATCTTCAACCACTTTGTCAACATTTCCACCATTTTTCCCATATTTTGATGATGTATTCAACAAGAAATCCTACAAGTTATAATCAATTATTAGAAACCAATCATCCTTAATTATGTAATAGCTCAGGGTCAGTTTTTGCTTTTGTTGGCTAGCCCCTAGTCATAGGGAATCAGAGGAAAGAGGCTAAGAAAGAATAAATTTTAGGAAAGAGGCCTCAAAATTATTGTGTAAAACTCATTTGATATGAAACATGACAAAGCTTATAGCTCACCTCTAATTCATGTTCAGCAATGGATCTGTAATTCAAAATGTCATCAATATCTGTTGCTTTCTCTATTTTCTCCAATTCATGCAGTACACTTTCTTCTATCACCTGAATATAATGATCAATTGAATAATAATAATAATAATAATAATAATAATAATAATAATATTAATATTAATAACAATAATAATAATAATAATAGTATATAAATAAATAAATAAAAACAACTGGGGAGAGAAAGAAAGAGAGCAAGTCAACGTGGACAAAGACAATAATAGGTCAATAAGTCTCAAAACTCATTATGTTTACAAGTCATCAACATACATCATAAATATTAAGCTAGCCTATAAAGAACAACAGAAACTTGGGTTAAGGGCATTACATACATAATATCTTCACCACACATCATAAAATGATAGCTAGTGTACGAAGAACAAAAATAATCAAGGCATAACTCAACAGCCAGCCTAGCAATTGCAAGATGCAAAACAAGTCTAGCATCACTATGGCACATCCTAGGACGTTAACTAGCAAAGCTTGTACGAAATTTTTCCCCTACAGCTACATATTATTTACAAATACATTGCTGAATGGTTAAATAAAGTTGTTCATGGTTTACAGAAATACTATAAACCAATTATAACTTTTTATCATGAAATGGTTTCAACTGGAATTAATGAAAATCCTTCCTATTAACATAGAGGAACCACCATCACATTAGACTAGATAAGATATTATTAGAAGACAATCCTCTAATATATATATATTATATAAATATACATGTTTGGACAGTAAGGATGGATAGATTTATTTATTGTAAGTGCTAGAGAATAAAGCTACAACCAAATAGATAACTCAAAAGTTTCCCTTGGTGCGGCACTTAACAAAGTAGTCAACAATTACATAATTGCTCCAGGGAATTTGTTAAAAGATAATGAGCGGAAACTTATAAATGAAAAGGCAAAGCTTGTTAATTTCCGCATTCAACCTCCAGAGGTGAAGAGCAAAGGATCCAATATTCTATAATATTAATTAATATCTTTATTATTTAGTGTGTGTAATTATTGCATTTGTTAGAAAAAAAGACTTATGGAAAATGCTGCAGATCTATCATTTGATCTCATTTAATCATTTACTACCTCACTTTTGTCATTATTCCCATAAATGCCCAAAAAAACGAAAATCAACTTTGTTCATTTTATTATTGTTAGATTCATATCTATATCTTAAATAAATATGATTCATATCTATATCTATATTTATATCTATATCTAAATCTATTATTTAGTTAAATTTAGTTGGTTACATTGTTGTCATGGCGTCGCCATGGTATCCTGGCTGCTTTTAAGGGGCGTTGCAACTCTTCGCCTCGCCTTATCAAAGAATGTTGTTTGGAGATGCTTTAGCAACGCTGTGGCGACGCTTCAACGCCGCCACGGCGATGCCATGGCACTGGGAAGGCTAGCCCAGAGCCTTCGAAGCCCAACCCAAGCCCCAAGACCGCATCGACATCAACTTTGAAACCGAACCCTTAACTTCTCATCCTCTTCCTCCCCCTGTCATCTCTCTCCCCTGCTCTCTAGTCTAGTCGCTAATGTCCGCTACTTTGTGCAGCCCCTTCCCTTCACATATCTCTCCCCTCTCCTCTGGTCTAGTCGCTAATAACCGCATCATCCCATCATAGAGTTTTTCTCCACTATTTCTTATATGTTTTAATTTGTTATCTACTTTATTACTCTGGAAGTGCTATTACATTATTATTTAGATTAAAATTTCAAATTAATTATTTATTTTTATTTGTTAGTTATTTTGTATTTTATTGACATGTTACTATAAAATTAATAATTATAGGCATTAATTTCTTATAACATATAATATATATAAGTTTTTATATATGTGAGCCTTGTTTGCCATTTTGTCGCCATGGCGGTATGGCAGTTCATACGCGCCGCGCCGCAAAAGTGCGCCGTGACAACCTTGGTTGGTTATGATTGATTTTTGAAACACCTATATACATATATATATATATATTTCCCTATCCTTTTCTCTTGGAATGAAATAATATTTTATCATATTTCTCTACATGTTATCAGAACCAATTAAGGTGTAAATAAGCCGCCGCCACTGCCAAAACCCTAATTTTTCTCATGTACCATGTAAGTTATCTTTTCACCCAATCATCATAATCCGACCCCTTACACTCCGGTGCCTCCAACCACGGTGAGAGAGCCGTTGTCTGCAACCGCAAGTGCTTCCACCCGCCACCGCCGGAAGACAACATTTGTTTCGTTTCGGTTGATTTTTGATCTCTTTCCGTCGTTTTTTCTAACACGCGCCACATCAGCATGTTCTTCTCTTCACGATGCATTGGACACGTCGCTCACCATCACCACCTCTACGTGTGTACACATGCGCCGCCACTGCTGCCACCAAATTTTCTATTGGGGTCTCTTTTTTTCCTTTTGCTTCTTATAACCAACTATTTTAAGTCAATTGGTATTAGACGTCTACATTTGAGGTTTATCTATTGTTATAAGAATTGTTATACTAAAGAACTCCATTACTATAAGCAGAACGGAATATAATGCATTCCTTTAGTTTCAAACATTTAAGCAGTGATCCTCCACTAATTTTAACACCTCTATTAATGCCCAAACCTCATTCATCGGTATTTCTCAAATCTCATGTGTTCTAGATTTCGATGCAACTGATCATATCTCTGGTAATCCTTATTTGTTTTCTATTTTTTATCGCCAAACTCACTTAACACATGGTACTCTATCTAATGGTGATAAAGCATATCCTCAAGTTATTGGTAGGATTTGTCCATCACTTAATTTACCCTCATATTTATTAGTCGACTTACAAAAGATTTAAATTGTTCTATTTTACTTATTAGTAGTTCCTTCATTATTCAAGACCGCAGCACGGTGCGGACGATTGGTACCGGATGTAAGTCTCATGGGTTAAGTCTCCTTGTCTATCTTCTACCCTTGCAACTGTCTCAGTTGAGCCTTCTGAATTGTTCCATCAACGGCTAGGTCATCCCAATCTATCAAAATTAAAATGTATTTTTTTCAATTTTTCATCACTGACTTTATTACCATGTGAACTATGCAAGCTTGGAAAATAGTCCCGTACTATTTTTCCAAAGCGCATCAATAATAGAGCATCTGAACCTTTTGCATTAGTAGATATTTGGGGCCCTTGTCATTCTAAGTCAAGTCTAGGTTTTCAAAATTTTGTTACTTTTATTGATGATTTGAGTCGGTATACTTGGGTTTATTTAATGAAAAATAGGTTTGAATTACTTGCTATATTCAAAAGGTTTTGTGCTAAAATTCGTACACAATATCACACCTCTATTAAGGTCTTAAAGTGATGATGGAAGAGTATTTTTTCTACTCATATAATGAGTTTGTATCTTCTCAGGGGATTATTCATCAGTCATCTTGCCCTTTCCACCCCCCAATAAAATGGGATGGATGAGCGCAAAAATCATCATTTAGTAGAAATTGCTCATAATGTGTTTTCCTTGGGTACTCTCGAGTTCAAAAAAAATATAAATGTTATTCTCCTTTCACTCATCGATATTACCTTAGTGCAAATATCACATTCTTTGAATCATCACCATACTTTGCAATGTCATTAACTTCATCCTCAATATATGGGAACCACATTCCAATGGCCACCATTATCAAGCCTCCACTCCAAGTCTATAGTCAACATACATGGCAATGTCAAAACATACCTACTTCATCATCACCTGTGCCTATTGATGACTCATCTCCGGTTCCGTCGCCTTTCCCTGTTACGACTCCATCGCCTGTCGTCCTACATTAAGGTACACGGTCCACTTATAATCCTAACCCTATCTATAATTCTCTTAGTTATCACCATTTATTTCCTTCTATACGTAGTGTTGTGATTGCTTTAGACTTCATCTTTGTTCCTTACTCTTGGCGTGAGGCATTGGGTCATTCAAAGTGGTGTCAAGCCATGGTAGAGAAAATGTATGTTTTGCACACTAGCAATACTTGGGAGTTGGTTCCGTTGCCACCAGGAATGACACCCGTAGCTTGCCGATGGTTTAAGCAGTCATGGACGGCCCTAATGGTCGCATTGATCGACTCAAAGCTCGAATTGTTCCAAAGGCTTTCGTCAAGTGTATAGAGAGGACTATACAGAAACTTTCTCTCCGGTTGCCAAAATGTCTTAATGTTCGTTTTCTTCTTTCTATGACAGCAACGAGTGGTTGGCTCCTTCATCAGCTTGACCTTAAAAATGTCTTTTGACATGGTGAGCTTTAAGAAAAGGTGTATATGGAGCAACCACTTGATTTTGTTACTCAGAAGGAGTCTGGTCTTGTATATCGCCTTCCACGCTCACTTTATGGCTTGAAACAGTCTCGACGGGCATGGTTTGGACGTTTCAATCTTGTTACTCAAGAATTTGGTATGACACAATGTTTGTCCAATCATACCGTATTCTGTAAGCATACTTTAGAGGGACGATGTGTTTACTTAATAGTATATGTTAATGACATTTTCATCACGGGAGATGATACGGATGGTATTACAAACTTGAAGGAGCATCTACACAACCATTTTCAAACCAAAGACTAAAGACCACTATGGTACTTCTTGGAATTGAGATTGCCCAATCAAATAATGGTGTTATCCTATCTCAGAAAAAGTACGTTTTTGATATGTTGAAAGAAACAAGCATGAGTGAATGTAAGGTTGCGGATTTTCCTCATGGATCCAAATGCAAAGTTGATTCTTGTACAGGAGAAGCCACTGACCAATGTTGTTGGACGATATAGAAGGCTACTTGGAAAACTCAATTATCTCACTATCATTCGACTAGATACATCATTTGCGGCAAGTTAATGAGTTAGTTTCTGCAGTCTAAATGACTCTCATTGGAAACCACTTGTCCGTATCTTGCGATATATTCAAGGGTCTATCGGAAAAAAGTTTAATTCATACAAATCATGGTCACTCTGAAATTGTTGGATATTCAGATGCCGATTGGACAAGGTGCCCAATCGATAGACGTTCTACATCTAGTTATTGTGTGCTTGTTTGAGGTAATTTAATATATTGGAAAAGTAAGAAACAAGATGTGGTCACGCATTCTAATGTTAAGGCTGAATATCGCTATGGCCTTAGCTACATGTGAGCTTATTTGGATTAAACAATTACTTTGTGAACTCAAGTTTTGTGATGTGAAGAAGATGAAGTTATCGTGTGATAATCAAGCAACATTAAACATTACTTCAAACTCAGTATTTCCTGAACGAACAAAGCATACCGAAATAGATTGTCAAGGAGAAAGTGTTATGTGGGTCTATAGCCACTAAATATGTGTCCTCGGATGATCAACTTGCAGACATCTTTAGCAAATTCCTGAGAGGTCCTAAATCCGAGTCCATCTGCAACAAGCTTGGATTGTATGACTTGTACGCTCCAACTTGAGAGGTGTGTTATATTCATATCTATATCTTAAATAGATATGATTCATGTAAAAATTCTAAAAGAAATTTATGAGATATATTGATAATGAAATTAAGGTCTATTTATAAACCTTGTACAAAAAGATAAAGCTAAATAATAACAACCAAATCTAGAAACATATCTAGATAATAACAACCTAATCTAATTGATATGATTATATGATAACTAACAAATCTAAATAATATCAGCTAAAATATCTATTTAAAATATATTTTAACAATTCATATCTATATCTATATTTATATCTATGATTTAGTTAGACTTAGTTTGTTATGATAGATTTTCTAAACACCTATATATATATATATATATGTAGACTTTCCTTTTCTTTTCTCTTGGAATGAAATAATATTTTCCCATATTTCCCTACAATTATAGTACAAACATCGTTTTACATACATAAAGAGAAGAGAATAAAAAAAAATGTCAAATCTAAATCCTATAACTTATTCATCATTTGCAGACAATAAGTTATGCGTGTATTAATATAACAAAAATAAAAACACCATTTGTAATCCTTTCATCGTTCAGCAGACATCCAAATAATCCTTTAGCCAATAATAGTCCTAACTTCAGAGAGAATTATCATTTTTAAGTCTTATTCTCTTTCTTTGCACTTTCACATAAGAAAAACTACTTTGTTTGGTTGTGTTTGGTGTGTTTTGTAATAGTGAAAATTTTGAATTACAACAATTGTTTGATGTGATATAAATACGCATTTGATGTGATGTATTGAATATACAATTTTTTATATCTAATCTATTAAATGAAAAATACATGTGTGATGTGATGTTTTGGAAAGAAAAAAAAAATGTTCTAGTTAAATAGTGAAAACGGGTGGGTAAAACACAACAAACAAACCCGATTCAAGCATAGATTCAGTATAACGCTTCCTCGAGTGACTTCTCAACTAAAATAAACCATCTGACCTGATCATGTCTCAAGCACTTCAACTTGGCCTTGTACAATTTCACATATGTCCGGCACGAGTATCTGCCATGAAAAAGCATGGAAAAAGATGTGGTGAATATTTGAACTTCAGAATTAATATAAACTTTGAAGCTAGTTAATCGCTAAGTACAATATTTAGCATGGAGAAATGGAATAATAATATGTAATTTCTCTTATCAAGAAAACAATTCCATAAGGCTACTCAGTTTCTTAGATCTAACATGCACGTATGTAGATCTTTCTCAAGACATTTTAGATATATGAGAATGTCACCACTTCGTAGTTTACTTGTAATTTCAAATCCATTTTTGCACCATTCAATCTACCAGTTTCCCTCCAATAACATCTCATCCAAAACAAACATTTTAAATTCAAAACATTGCTTTCAACACTTATTTTCTCCTAAAAACATCAAGGCCTAAAACACCAAAACACAAGTAATTCTTCAGAAATGTCAGCTTCTTTAAACGTAAGACATACCAACTAAAACTAAACCATATATCCACCACAATACGATTCTACCATCCTAACAACTCAAATATGAAATAAATACAAACCCACATGTCCATATTTTGACAAATATTAATAGGACTTTCTTTACTTCAGCCGACACAATATTCTGTCAATCAGAATATAAAATTTTCGTTTTAAGATCTATATGGCCACTGGTTTAACACATGGATTTATACCTTATTTTAACAGTTTAATTTACTTTGTTCCGGGTGGCCACCAAAATTAATTTCATTTATATGGCAAACAAGCACAGTATCAACATGCAAGCATGAACTCCATCTCTTCTTTGCATTAGAAAAAGCATGGTACTATGGTAGAAACAAAAAAGTGGAAATTCAGCACATCTACCTAGGAGATGCCCACACACATATCCAGGTGGTTCTCTTCACATATATATTTTGATGCAAACAGGTGCATAGATATTTTCATTTAAAACACAATTTTCTGCTACCCAACAAAGTGCTAGAAACCAATCATAAACAAGCATAATGCAAGTTTCATAATCCCCAATTTCAGCTAAAACAGCAATGCATCCTTGTCCTTGACATCTATAAACTTATTCTATTCTTCATCAAAGTGCACCAACGAGCAAGCGGAGACATGTCAAATTATCCACTAGAATTTTCATAAAAATAAAAAATGTAATTTATTGCAATGTATAAAATGATCGGCCAGACTTGTTCATAATAAAACTTCCAAGCTAGGAGAAGCTCATTTGTACAACACCAAAAACTTGAAACAAAAGCAAAAGAAACTTTATGACATGATAGTATGAGATCAGAAAATTCAAATGGGTAACACAACCATATTAATTAGGAAAGTTAGCTGGGGTAGCTGACAACCTAGACAGGTACTGAGTTTGCAAAACTTTTCATTTAACAAGGCCATAGACAGTAACAGAAACAATGGAGGGCATGTATCAACTCACAGCCTCTGTCCAAAGTACTTCCAAGATTTTTTTCTCAATCTCCTCTGAACATCAGAAAGTACAGATTCCTGAGCATAGTGCCACCATGCTTTTTGCCATCCCTTGAGCCTTTTCCCTATAGGGCTCCACCAAGGACGATAACGTCCATACCTACAGAAGTTAAAAGAACAACGCAAATCAAAGCTTCCCACATTCAACAGGTCAACATGACTTGTACTCATACCAAATAGAAATAATGGATAAAAGAAATCAAGTAGCAAATAAGAACACAAATAGATTAGGAAAGAATTGACACATTTCTACATAAACAAGAGCAAATGGAAGGACAAGATGACAGCCTGCAATTAAAACATAAGTTACATCATTAATAAATATCTCTCATCCATAGGTACTACATGCATTTTCTTCTGCAGATACAAAAGACACAAAGGGAAAAGATTGAGAGGAAAAAAACTCCAGGAAAACCCTCCAAATAACTTCAAACAGTCAGAAGCAAGGCACCATAGGAAGAGCAAGATAGTTCCTCAACATCCATTCAAGCTTCTATGCCCTAACCTGATAGAATAAGAATGCCAAACCTATAGGTTTGACCAAAAACCAGCTATATGAATCATAGTCCTTAGCAAGACCCAGCAGTTTCGGAAAAACTAGAACCATCTCTTTCCCATTTGCCCAGTTAACCAAGAAATTTGATTGATTAGAATTAAAATAAAATCCACAGCAGGATTAATTGTAATGATTAAAATATGAAAGTCTGCATACTTCACAGAAACCACAAATATCAATGGTGAAGAAACTTGAGAGCTGCAAAGCAAACAATTAAGTTAAACATAAGTTTGAGTACTAAATCAAAAAAAAAAAAAAGAAAAATATCAGAGGTTCTGGAATATAAGGGAAGCTATTTTACGTTAAAAGTAAATATAGTTCATAAAGAGATGCCTAGGAAGTAGGTGGCAAGTTTATCAAAGAATGCATCGAATAACTTACAGCTGCTTATTTACTCAAAACAGATGACATAGCTTTCTCATGATGTTCTTGACAATGAAATGGGTGAACCAGCACCTACATGGCTTCATAAAGAAGCCTCTGAATTGAATAAGTGCTCCCATTGCCACTGAGGGCCATCAAGCATGAGCATTCAAAGTTCACCCTTGTAAGTAGAATTAGAAGGGCTGTTACCAATGTGTTGTTTTAAACTGACTCAAATGATCAAAAAGGTATACATTTTGGTCAGGAAGAATGTATGCCCTCATATCAGTAGCTGTCTAGCCAAGTCTTATCAAAATGAGCACACCTACATTGCTGCTATTCTGCAACTACCAATCCATGCATGAAGTGATGGACGACTATGTTTGTGGATAATTGCTTGGCTGAGAGTAAGCAGTGTCTGTTTTGTATATGCATTTTTCTTCTCTTTTTTTTTTTTTTTTTTTTTCTTGTATGGGGGAGGGGGGGAAATGAGTTAGCAGGTATTACAAATTACAAAATACTAGGCACTACAGCTTATCCACATATGATGATTGTACTCATCAACAAAGGAAAGGGTAATGAATGTTGTGGTTAGAAGACTTGGCTTAATTAAGTCAACATACGATTGGGGAATGTCAACTGTTGATTGCATACTTCATAAAATCTTGTGTTAAACAAGTATTTGGACTATAGACATGGCCATTTTCCTCACAACCTAGATAGAAAAGATAAGCTAAGAAGAAAACATGTTAGCTTCTTCATTATCGATGAGTTGATGGGTTACCAAATGGTAGTATCAGAATATTTTTCTCTATCAAAATAAAGTTACTTCTAGTCTCAAAAAAATAAAATAAATAAATAAATAGAGATGCAGAATTATGGCGAAAACTAGAAGGCCATGTAAGTGTTAAGCTTAAATCACATAAAATTGGAAGCCCAATCGCTACCACTTCAGCCACATAAAAGAATACAACATATTCAGCAGTATCATATTTCAGGTACCACAATCAATAGTGTCATGATATATACTGTAGTCTATGCCTAAAACATACTCCAAACAACTTCAAGGAGAGATAATAGCAAATTCACATTTAGGTTGCACAGAATTTTTCACCATTAAAAATTAAAAGCTGATTATGGCATTACACAACTTACTTCTCCCTCAACCGGCATATTTCCATATAATCTGAAAGAGACAAGATATTCTGCAACTGGACCTCATCCATTGAGGTTTCCTAACAATGACATCCATAACAATTCCGTCAAAAGGTTTATCTTAATGATGAAGAAATTACAAGAATCTGGCCTCAGAACTCTATGGGCGTACCACACATGCCATGTCAACCTTGATGTCATACTGCGGAAGATCATTTAACAAGTTGCCTGATCTGTTTACCTACATAATAATCTCATTTAATTAGAGAGAAAAACAAAGCAAAGCAGAAGGATTGATGTAGCATATTTCAGACATAATGACATGTATATAAAGCAACACTTCAGATCAAATCCAGAGAGAGACAGCAATGGAAAAGGGAGCTTACTACATATTGAATTTCATCATATCATATTGACAATAAGATATGGAGAGAAAAGTGATGTGCGGATACTCATAGATACTGCATATTGGAAGTTGCAAAACATGTGCTTGCTACTTCATTGTCCCCTTTTTCAATGTAAGTAGCTAATATGTTGACTAAAGTGCTGGGGACAAATCAAAAAAATTGGACGACAAGTTGAACACAGCTGGTACATATGTTTTAACTTGAGAGGATGAGATTGTTAGAATATATGTGCAATTGTGTTAATCAATCGCATATATTACATAATGAAGAATAATCTTTGTATTTTTTAATAGGCTACCCTTAATAGATAGATGAACAATTGAGAGTGTTTTCAATCTAAAGCAACAAACTCATTTACTTGATATAATTTGAAATGAGGATTTGAACACGCAAAACCAAAAGAACGAACACTGTTAGAACCTACAAATTTTGGTAATAAACAGGTCTCAACTCTATCTTTTGCCAAAGAACAACCAAGTCAAAATGATTACCTATTGTTGCATAACAAGAAAAAAAATTTATTCTTAACTTTTTCTAATTATAATTATGATTCTTAATACTTAGAAGTTAAGTTTGTTAGTGATCAAATATGATTTCCAGTATTAACGTCAAATTAACATATTAGTTATTGTTGGTTAACTCCCGTTTGTAGATAAATAAATAAATGGTAACAGTTTAAACTTTTAGGTGAGACGGTCATTCAAATCATCTATTCACAGGTCTCGTGTTCGAGTCCCACCATCCCCATTTGTTGTCGTCGTGGTAAAATGGTCATTCAAATCATCTAACAGTTACATGTGATTACACATGAGCTCCGCATATTCACTACCTTATGGAGTTATCACATAACAGAGAATTTTGTTTGGATCATAAACTGAATAAGCTATGAATATGTTTTAAAAATAAAATAGGAAGTGCTAATTTCCAATATAATGTAATGCATAATATCCTTTTTAAGGCATTATGATAGCACCCACTCATCTTACCGATAGAGACACTGAAACATCCAACGGAGCTAAAATAGATGAACATTTGCGGTCGTCAAGCATTTGTCCACCCACATTGTCGTATCTTTGGACATCCTTTGTACTTGAACTATAAGTTTTTCTTAAGTTTTCACAATGAACTTCTAAATTCTGAACTTCAATCAATTTGTTGACTTGACCTCCTCTAACTTTTGAACTTGAAGATCTGAAAGACATAAGAACATCGGTGCATGATAATTTAGATCAGAGTATAAAATCACAAGTGAGATAATAAACTTTTTATTTTTTAAGGGAAGAAAAATGCATACAATTGAATGGAGATACACATCACATCCAGGTTATCTATATATACCTATAAAATCTTGATGATGTAATAGAACAGGTTGCACAGATTTAAAAGGAAATTATAATTTAAAGTAATCTAAACTAACCACAAAAAAATAAAAAAGAAAGTTAATAGAAATTGAAAAATGATTGTGCAAAAATACATAACTATTATAAAAGAAACATTTGATTAAATAATGTAATACTAACAACTTATAGAATGCCACTGAAGGTAGAAATGTACATGAAATTAGGACTTCAAACATCCACAATGCATCCAGTTTTTCAGAATGACTAAAGAAGATCCCAGAAGAGTTCTGTACTTGATTCAAGCTTTTTTTTTTTTAAAGAGTAAGAGTAATAATTGATAGATAAAAATATTTGATTACATAGACATAGAGGTCAGATAACCTAACTGCAGCCAGACAAATAAGGCTAGCACCGTGCTTAGTGAAGAAGCCTAGCACCTCATTTGCACTTTGAGGAATACACTGAAAGGTGAGAGGAGGGGGAACTTTTCGATAGAAAGACAAAGCTTGTTGATATCAGAGTTCACTTTCCAGGGTGGTGAAGAGCAAGAATCCATGCTAGAGATTTTTTCAAACCACATTCAAAGGTTCTAGTATTAATGAAAAAAAAATTATTTTACAATTGAACAGATAGTATTTATACTTATTGACATAGGGAGCATTTGGTAAACTTGAATGCTGAATTCAGTAAGCTAATTTTTTCGGGTTTTTTATTTTTTGGAAGGAATCGGAAAGCTATTGAACTGCTAAGTTCTGTATTTAACTAACCCTCGAATATTTAATGCTTTTGTCAAATAAAAAATATGCATATAAGGATAACATGAATAATTACAATATGATAAGTTCATTAGTATTGCAAAATAATTTTCGATTGAATTATTAACAAATCACTGATGATACATTACCATGAAAGGACATTCCATTAAGAGTTTGATTTAGATTTTCAACACTGACCAACGCATAGAAGCTTACTATAAGAGATTACATCTTGTTATATATCCAAGGTTTAACTTACTCTTCAATGGCCGTGTTTGTTGGGGGTTTGGATTTTAAATAGTAAAAAATTTGAATTGGAATAATTGTATGAAGATAAATAGGCATTGATGTGATATTTTGAATATAAAATTGATCTTTAGTATATTATAAAAAATAAAAAACATGTGTTTAATTTGATGTTTCTAGAAGGAAAAAAAAAATTACGAATAGTGAAAATCTTTATATATCTTTGAAACAAACACAAAATGCTTTTTTAGTTTTTTTTCTTTTTGTTTTTTTGTTTCAATAGATACTCAGATTCATTCTAACATAAATGTAGAATCAAAGAATATGGAGTGTAAAGAAAACAATGGACAGAACCAAGGGCGAGAAAATAATACCCAATTGCTTGTCTCATAATTGTCAGACTTGAAAACTTCAAGCCCAATAAAAGATCCTCCTGCAAAGCAGCAAGCATCCAAGGATTGTCATTGTTTTGCATATTTTGAATTAATGCTTGGAAGTATTTGAAACTAAACTTTGGAAAGAAACCACAATTACATGTCAGTACTTTAACAGAATAACATACACTTACTTTACTAAGATTTATGAGTAAAGGAAAAACCTAAAGATATATAAAGCTATGTCCAAATTCCAAAAGAGGCATGCATAGCCAATTAATTCTTGTAGTATATCAAAATATTTCTTAATAAACATTCTTCAGGCAAAGAAGTTACAGAGTATGACAGAAGTAACTAAGTTCAATTGTACAGAATAACAGCCATCTGTGAATTAGCGGGAACAAACATCGGTTCAAACAGTGGGTATCATACCTTTTCACACAGTGAATCCCAATAGAGAATGTGGACGTTTCTGATAGATACTTGAATGCTGTCAATAATCTAAGGAAAGCAAAGTATATAGAGATAGTGAGAGAGGTGGGGTAAGATAAAATTACATAATGGAGGGAATTTCACATAGTTTCTTCCTAGCAATATCACAAAGTCCATTCCATTTTTATATAACTAATATAATTTTCAATAAATGACATCTGGATGTGTTTCAGCTTTTTGACCAAAAAAATGAGTTTGGAATCACAAGGTGATGGAGAGGGACTTCAAGAAACAAGATCTTTTAGAGTTAACCTAGATAAAAATCCTACAAACCATGAAACTGTAATTGGTAATTTGTATCCTATCCTAAAAGAATGTCCTACTTTAATACTTCAGAGAACTTCTGACACTCCTGTTTCCGATGAGCAAATGAACAAACAGTTTCACTATTAATTACATTGTCCGACACTGAGAATCCCAACATGATGTATGACGAGAGTTGGGTACATAAAGTTAATATATGAAATATTTTATTACAACATTGAACTTAAATAGAGAATCGCAATAGCAATAACACCAAGAAAGAGCTGCACTGGAACACCCTTATCTTCATAAAAGTGTACAATTGCAACATCTTCCAAAAGTGATGAGCAGCAAAATACTCTTCTTTGCTAAACAACACAATGTTATCAGCTTTTTCACTCATACCTTGTGATGTTTCGTGGTTGCAGTTCTAATAATCTAGATTGCATAAAGACTTTTGTTGTATCTTGTATGTCCACAGACCATAACAATCCTTAATTTTCAAAATAAATAAACTCATGTGTGACTATTTCAGTGGAGAACGTATCCCAAAATTCAAAACACTAGAAAATCGTTATGGTGTGTTTATTTGTGTTTTGGATTTTTTGGTATTTTATAGGTTGCTTTGCATTGGAATTCTTTTGAATGGAAAATAATTGTAGAATGTGATGTTAATATAGAGTAAAGGTATTGAGATTGATTTTTTGACTGAAAAACTTATTATAGATTACATAGTGTGAACAAGCTGTTGAAAACAGAAGTGAACAAAGCTATAGTTTTTCACAGCACAAAGAGCAAGAATGAGAGAAAAGCTGATAACCAGCCAAATATCTTAGTTATCTTCGACAGTTGGCAAACAACCCAAAACAACTGTAGATAGTGTTCATCACAGAAAAACTGGACAAATAATCCCAAATTGATATCTCTGCAAGGATATTGTAAATGATAAGTAGAAAACAATGTTGGAAACAAGTACACTACCTTGGCAGTGATGTAAGAAACAAAAGATTTTCCAGTCTGATTGTCTGCCAAATAGATGCATTATTAGTAAAAAGTGAAAATGCAGTATTGAATGTTAGGAAAAGAAAAACACACATACACACACAACCAAAACAAATGCACACATAAAATCACAGTTATTTTTTTCTCTGGGGGGGGGGGGGGGGTGCGCAGGGAAGAAAAAATTTATCTATATAAAAGAGATTGAAATACAAAGGTAAGGGCCCCGGCAAGCGTGCAACCAATTACAGCCAAACCATTAGTTCTTTCCCACCCCTAGCACCGCGCTTGGCAAAAAATACCTTATACCATAGACTCATTAGCACTACAAGGATAGAGATTAAGGGGATTTTTTCAATAGAAAAATTAAACATATTTGAATTGAAGGTTAAGTGTCCAAGGAGGAACAGGACCATGAATCCAGCCAAGAAGCATTTGTTGAATTACACTCAACCAGAATTCTGGGGAATGGGTCGAGATTGCTCAGGACTGCCTCAATAGGGGGCATGATAGAAAGAATTTCAGTAGTATTTCACATTAATTGTTCTATAACTGCATCATCTTCAACTCCGATAATTACTCTATTAATTTTAACCAAGTAACTGAATGAGAGTTGAATTCAAATCTCTTAGTTTCCTACAATGAGTGTTTCCTAACAAGTTGGGAAAAAGTATAAGGCATTGAGATGTGAATCTCTCTACTAGAGTGCAGAAAAGACAAGCAAAATACTATATGAAGAACGATTATGCAAGAAATTCAAATTTGCAAGCTGCATCAAACAAATAAATTTTATGCATTTTGGCTTTTAAATCATGATTGTCAAATACTTATTCAGTCTCAAATACGAGAAGACAGCAATGATTGGAACAACAGTAGTATTTTGATTATTTGATACCATATTAAAATAATATTCAAAACATGGGATATATCAAAATGTAACTTTATAATATGGTATCACTAAACTGGTATCAATAAACAAGTCCGGACTATCTTGCAGTACCCAATGTGTTTCCAGAATTCTCTCCCATGTACAGGAAGGTCAAGGAAGTTGGTGACTGATGATAGGGGTCAGGGGAGTCTTGTACTCTCTCCTTCAATTAATAAAACCTTATTCTACTCCCCAAAAATAAATAAATTGCAATTAAAAAAGTTGTTTATTTGCTCATACGGTGCCAATTATGACAAACACTTGTATTACAAGCATAACCACAAAGCTACCATATGTGAGGCTCACCACATACGCGCCTTGATAGTTTTGCAAGTTCTGCTGTAGCAAGCTGGGCCTTTTTGCTTGCAAATTCTCGTCTTTCAACAGCATCCAAACACCACTGCCCCAACACAACAAAATGCAGTATCAATCATTTTAAGTTAAGAAGCATAATCAAAAGCTAAGTGTTAACACACACACACAAAAAAAAAAAAAACTACAAATACTCAAAAGTCATTCTTTATCAATTAAGGGAATAAAGAAAAAGGAAATATAATAATAGGGATAAAAGAAAGATGGATTTGATGTAAACACATATGAGGCATAAAAACTAGAGTCACCCAATATAATGATATTTTGTAGCATAGTTCACAATCAAAATTAAATTAATGATAAGAACTCTTGACATGAAACAACCTCATTGTCATCCCGTTGAGAGACACAAATATATACATCTTCCAGCATGATTATAAAGGGGTCCCAGCCAAGTTTCTTCCATGGAATTCTGATACTTAATTTTCCAACACGGCCTGTAAGGCATTCAAAGAAATCATATAGGGTATAAATGCATGATCAAACTAAATACAAGAGCAAAAAGAACACTGCAAATTGAAAATATCTGTAACAATAGGGAACATACAAAGTAGCTAATGTAATTAGATCCATTTGAACTCTTCACAACAGCAGAACAAGAATTACCAGTAACACGGTTAATCCACTTAGTTGGTATAACACCTATCAAGGGAATAATTCATGCAAAGGACAATAATCTTTCTCAATAGATTCATTTAAAGTCAATCACCAAATGTACTCACTGCCTGCATACAATTGTAATAACCTAAAACATCAGGACCTAAAACCCCATCCCCCACTCACCCAACCCCCACCACCAATATATATGATTTCCCTAAATATTTTAACTACTTACATAAATACCTTGTTTGAAAGCAAATGGTAGCCGGAGGTAGTCAAATGCTTCCACAATCAGCTCCACGTTTTCCAGCAGAACCTCCTCTGCAACCCAAAAATGGACAAAAACTTATTAATAACTTCGATTCTCTATCAGCTAACAAGTATTCAGACGTTGATGGAGTTCACTGCAGACGCTTAAACAGTATAACTAGAACAAAATACACGAAAAAAACGAAATGGTGCGGTTTAAAATGAAATTAATAAACATCCCCAAAAAGAATACCATTCCAAAGAGTGATTTTGAGCTGCTCTTTCTGGATATCTTTGATGTATTTGCCCAAATATCCCAGTATCAACTGCCTCACCAATCCTTCAAACATCCTCCTCTCTTTACTTTCTTCCCGTTTTAATCAGCATAAGTCCAATCTCCCTAACCAGACAAGAAAGAAGGCCGATAATACCAGTTCAAATTTAACAAATGTCGAAACTATTCTACCTAAAACCACATCGCTCAAAAGACTTACCTTGTCCCAGCTCCATGGCGTTTCTCGAATATTACCGAATACCTTCCGGAAGAGAGGTGAACCGCCGCAAGCTGACGAAGAGGCGATGAACAGAGCAGAGGATTAAAAAGATCGAAGGCAGCGAAGAGAAAAGAATGGAGTCTCGAAAGACGATGTTTTTACATTTTTCTTTTCTCTTTTTTTCATATAATTAAATATTTTTAGAAAATATTTATTGTTAAATCTATTACTTTTTAAACTATACTAATTCCTTCTAAAATATCTAAGGTCCCAAGTTTACTTTAGAGGGAGTTTGGGAAACAGTTTCAAAAAACTTTTAATTTATTAAATAATTTTTAGTTAATTTAGGTGTTTGGCTTTTTTTGAAATATTTTTATCAAAAAGTCAATTTCTAAAAAGCTTATCTATCTAACGTTTTAAAATAACTTTTTTATTTTAATTTTGATTATTCCGTCTTCAAACTTAATTATTTATTTTATACATATAAAAATATTTTTATAGTAATTTTATTACTTATTTTTAATATATTTAATTTATTAAATTATATTTTTATTTTTGTAAATTTAAAATAATTACTATTATTAATTATTACATATAAATTATTTTATTTGTAAAATATATAAATTTTTAAAATTAAATCAAATAAAAAAAACAAATGTTATTAATTTATTTATATATATTAAAACAATAATAAATATATATACGAAAGATTTATTATTTTATATTTTGTATAATTTTAATAAAAAATTATTATTTTTTAGTAAAAATAATTTTTTCATATCTAAATAATAAAAATAAAAATAAATATTTTATAATATTTTTATAATTTTTAATAATTAATTAAAGAATTCTCATAAATTTCAAATCAAAATGAACAAAATTAAATATTTTTAAAAATAACATATCAATGTCTTTAATAGTTATTTTATATATAAACAGCTAACGTCTAAAAGCTATCAGCTAATTGTCAAACGCACCCACAAGAGCATCGTTAAATTCCATAAGTTTTTTTTTTTTAACGTGGCTATCTTTTTATTTTTTTGTATTTTTAATACACTTTTATATGTTAAATTGTGAATAAATTTTTAAATTTTTCAAAATTTCTCTAAAACTTTCTCGTCTTTTTTAATTTTTTTTAAAACTCCTATGTACATGTTTATTTTTTAATTTCAAATATTATTTTATTTTTTTACAAAATACTAATTTACAAAATTATAATGTCATTTTAAAATTAAACAGTAGATATCTATTTTGTCTTCAATCCTAATGTTTCTTTGTACTCTCGTTCTCCTTCGACCGAATCCACCACAATATTCAACTATTTCACCTACAATCATTATTGTCTGACTGTCGCGGGCTTGCCGTCCTCTGCTGTCGTTTTCATCCGCCTCTGGCAATGACTCTCCGTAAAAAATAAGTGTTTTGAATTTTATATTATTATCTACTTTTAAATTTATTATAAAAATATATAAAACGTAAAGACAATGTTCTTATGTTAATATTTTATACTCTCATTTATTTCTTTATTGTGTCTTATATGTTCATATTGATTTATTTAGTTATTTGGTTTGATTATTTATGTTAAAAATATTCAAAATATTATGACAACATTTTTTTTTTTGTCTCAATTGTGTTTTCTTGCAATGTTTATTTTGAAAATTTTGGCTTTGGCCTAATTCAATCAATCAATATAATAGTTGATCAATTCCTTAACTTGGTCTACCGGACTCGGCCCAAATCTTATAAACCCAAATTCTTTATACCTAACCCCAAAGCCTCGCCCAAACATTTAGTCCATTTAGTTAGTTTGTTATTTGGTGGTTATTTTAGAAATAAGAATTTTAGGTGATTGAGTTAGTTAGTTTTCAAAAGAGGGAAAACCTATAGAGAAGTTTTGAAGGAAAGTTAGAAGATAACCATTCGAGAGATAAGAGAAGAAAGGGAGAAACTACGAGCGAGTTCGGTGAATTCTGAGAGAGTTTTCGGTGGAAATAGAAGCTATTTTTTATGGTCAATTTCAGTGGGTATCGAGGCTTATAGTGATGCAATGACCCTCATTTTGACTCGTTGGGACAATTTCAACTTTCTCTTTGATAGAAATCTCTCTTTGCGAACGTGCGACCATACTCAATCTCAAAGGTCACTCTCTTATGGCGACGGTTGGCTTTATTGGAAGTTCATGAGTTGTGCTGCTCCAATACGTTTTGCACATCTCTGTATAGTTATTGGATGTTACGTGCTCGTTCCCTTAAATCTATATTAGATGTTCATTGTTAGGCAATAGCACTAAGTCAAGTGGGGTAAGTAGATTAAAACCATTAACAATTTCAAAGTGGGACATATTAGTAGAATAATGCATCGTCCTATTATAAGCAAATTCTACATGTGACGAACAATTTTTCCAAGAAGTCAAATTCATTTTTACGATGCATTTAAGTCGATTAGTGACTTCAGTTTGTCTATCAGTTTTAATGTGGTATGATGTTAAAAATAATAACTTAGTATCCAATTTCCCCAAAAATAATTTTCCAAAAGAAACTCAAAAATTTTGTATCTCTCTATAAAAGACAATAGAATGGGGCATTTCATGCAAACGTACAACTTCTTTGAAAAATAGGTTAGCAATGTGCATGGCATCATTAGTTTTGTAACAAGTAATAAAATTATCCATCTTTGAAAATCAATCTACTACTACAATTGCATAATCCCTACCTTCATTCGTTCGGGGCAATCCAAGGACAAAGTTCATACTAACATCAATATCACGACGTGATACACGATATACACTGCTTTTTTGCAGATTTTTGTGCTTTTCGAGAGCTCCAACCCTGTAAGGGAGTTCTCGAGTTAAAAATGGCCAGGGGAGTCGAGATTCCCTCCTTCTCTGGCAGCTCACTATACTACTTTCTAGAATAGTTTACTACTTCGATTTCCCGCTTTGATTTACTGATTTCGTAATGTAGATCTTTACTATTTTCTTTAGTAAGTAATGAAATATCAAAGATCTCTTCATTTTCACTTTCATCCATGCTTCATATTTGTGTCAAAATTCTATGATTAGAATTCTATTTCGCTATGGAAGAACAGAGAATAATCGACTATCTTAGTCTAGTTTCGTGCGTATTCATTAACAGATTCTAGGTAGTTCAATGTAGCTAAGTATGCGGAAGGCTTGTCGACCTGCTTAGTTGCTATTCTAAGTTCGATTCTGATTAAAGACAGGTAATAGAAGGGTAAAACCATTAATGAGACAAAGATTAGGATAATTAATGGGCATAGGTGCTGGTCTATTAGGTCATAAAAATCTCTAGTGACAATAGAATTTATTGCTTATAATGTTCTAATATTGGGCGTCATTGAAGTCTTGTTGTAAATCCCTTAAAGTCAAGTACCAGCAAAGTTAGTTCTATGTTAAATTGTTTTGCACAGTCACATTAACTTCTTTTGTCATTACATGTTATAGATATATACTCACTTCCATCATTCTCTCATTGAATCCATGAGAACCTAGCCATCTAGTAACATACAAATCAGACACAACACTATCTAGTCCTCCTTCTCGTTTGCCTACTATCATTCATATATATATAATCCGCTTCCCTTCATCCGCTCGCCTCCACTCACCACCGCTCTCGCTGCACCCGTCGCTCGCATACTGCTCTGTTAAACGCCTCACCAACCTCTTATCTTTACTTGTTTTTCTTTAAATTCTATATTAGTTAACTCTCCAGCTCACTCGCAAGCGAGCCGGTCTTACTGCTTTTTTGTTGCGCTTCACTTGTACAAAATTCTTGAATTAGATTTTGTGACTTAAAATCTCTGTGTTCGACCTGAAAACTCACTAGTAAAAAAAGTATAAATAATAGTGATAATTCGATTCAGGATCTACAACTTCATTTTCATTATCTATATCTAAACATGTTCGATTATGCACATTTACTCAAGAAACTCATAAGAAATTCCTTGTTTTAAGTTCAAACACAAATTGTTTCGCTTATCATAATTTGGCACCGTCCCAGGGATTTTAAACTCAAGAAATTCAGTCCTGAATTAATCTAGTAATGCGCCATAATTTACCTTTAAATTCTGTTATTACGTAATTCTTCAATTTTTATCGTTGTACTAATTTTCTCTTTGATGTGGCAATCTTTAATTCAGGGGTCCTAAGCGTTTTCAGCGTGAATCCAGTTATACTTCTTCTTCTCACACTCAGAGACATCTTTTTTGAGAAGTCACAAGAGAATGGATCATGACCATCCAGGGAAACAATGTTGTCCCTACCACCGCTGTCCCGGCTTTCCAAACTGTCGCCGGGATATCGTCCAATTCTGTCATATCTGCATATTCGCATGAGGTGCCACTGCATGTCCCCACTATACTCCAGCCAACTACTGTTCCCCATGTCCTGACTGGAATGCAGACGCACCTCGCTCAGGTCAAACAGGCTCAAGCCGTCCAGGCTGCGTTCATCGCTGCTCAAGCGACCCAAGCTGGTCACGCCACTGCGAATCGCACTACCATCACCCCACCTCCACCTACTGCTGAGCCCCACCAGGGGCAATTGCAGGGACATAGGGCTATTGATCGCCAATTTGCTGAAGTCCCGATGGACGTTAACGATCAGTCCCTTCTGGATAACACCCTAATTATTAGTTTTGTGCCCAGAGGCTCTAACAATTATGAGGTGAAGTCTGCACTGGCAGGTCTAGCTAGACAGAGCCAACTCCATGGGTTGCTCAATGAAAGCCCTTATGAGCATCTTTTTTAATTTTAACAGGATCGTTGCCACCTCCAAATCTCATGGCATCACGGAGGATGTTGGTAAGCTAATTTTGTTTCTCTTCTCCTTAGCAGGTGAATCCAAGAAATGGTTCCACTCGCTCTACCTAATTCTTGGAACTTTTAAGGAAGCAACACAGGCCTTCGTGAGTAAATATCATCCAGTATCGAAAACCATCAACCAACGGAACGAAATTCTTAACTTTAAGATGGCTGCTGATAAGACCTGCCCAAATCTTGGAGCAGTTACAAACAACTGCACCACAACTGTTCGCACCACGAGATTCCTGACTTCATGGAGTTTCAGATCTTCTATTCAGGGATCACTCCTGAGTTGTCTTTGGATGCAGCAGCGGGTAGCTCACTTATGGGACGATATATGTTCGAAGCGAGGGCTTTGATTGAAAAAATGGCGGCCAATCAGACTAGTTGCCCGGAAGCCAGCAGACAGGAGCTATCGAGGGGTCTTTACCATGTTCCTGCTACCGTTTCACAAGAAAAGCATATAGACAATTTTTTTGTCCAGATCAAGGACCTAGATAAACTCGTAAAGAATGATCTATCTAGTAATAAAAATAAATAGGTAATAAATAAAGTCATGGCAACTGAGGAGTGCGCCTATGATCAACAGAGCCCGCAGGTTGCTGAGAGCTCACCTGAACAGACTCAGAACCCAACGGAGGTCTTCAATAAGGCCAATAAAAATCCTACTTAGTATCAGCAGTTAGTTTCAGAATGGGCAACCCTAAAGGCCTGCCAGTCAATATCATCAACAACTGTTGGATAATCGGTTAATCGATTATTTATTCAATCAATAAAATTTAATTTATAAATTAAATTCATAATTTTCGAAACCGATTATTTGGTGAGTTGAAATGCATGTGGGCTTTGTAATGATTATAAGATATGGTTTAGGCATATAAATGCCGGAAAGTCACTGGCACGCCGCTTACCCGGATCAAATAACGTAGTCGCGGGTTAAGACTTGGGTATTAGACTTGACAAAGTCTATTATGCTCCGGAGACCAATCGAAATAACAAAATATGTTATTGAAATCGAAGCCCAAGAAAATAATAAAAATTAAAAAAAAACCCGAAATACATTTGTATACCTGCATGATTGTAAGTAATACTAACCTACGTGCATGACATAATGCATGACAATTTTATATTTGTATTATTTCAAGCAAATGAATGCATTACATAGAATGCATATGCACGTGCTGCATGATGGATTTATTATAAATAATGATGCACGTAAGTGTGTATTAATTGGGTTTGAATACTCTAACGTGTATATGATTCAAATTTCATTTGAATGGATGATCGGTTACGATCGGTTTCAAAACCCATTAACTCACAAAATAAATTGGAAATTCAATTGTGAATTAATTTCCCCACCAAATGGTTGCCTATATAAAGCCTCATCTTCTCTCATTTTTCAGATAACGACAACCACAACATAAACAATGTCTCACATTTCATTCATCTCTTCTCCTATACATCCGGCGACAATCCAATTTTCCGGAGAGTTTTCCGATTCTTTATCCAACAAAACTCTCTCTTTCCAAGTTGTGTGATATAGTTCAGTTCGCCTCATTTTAGTTCGTCGGAACTCCGAAATATTGGGGTATCACTTAATTCGGAGACGAACGTCGTTTTATCTTTGAGAACGTTGCGCCACGAATTGGAGGCACTACCGGGGCGTATTTGTTTTTACGGAATGAGGTTCTACCTCGACTCGACGTGATTATCGAATTATTTCGATAAATTGATTATTGAAATTTATTTCAATAAATTATTGTGATATCGAATTTATTTCGATAAGTATATTCTTGCAATATAACATTATTATTATTATATTTCTAATAACAACAATTTCATCAGTCATGACAGTTCACTGCGCCGCAATATTATCAAGGAATATTATCCACAACAACATTACTACCAGACCCCTAACTTTCCGCAGCAGACACCTGTTTTTGCCAAGCCTTCCACAGCGACAAATCAATCGCTGAGTCTGGAGGAATTATAGAGAAACACTCAGCGGAAAAATCAGGCGTTTCAAATAAATACATCTGCCCCGATCAAAATGTTGGAAACACAGGTCGGGCAGATTTCCGAAGCACTGAAGCTTAGGCAGAAAAGAACGCCGCCTGGGATAGTCGAGACTATCTCGAACCAAGCAAAGGCTATAGAAACTAGGGGAGGAAAGTGAACGTCATCACCACCACTGTGTGACAGAGGTATTAATCACTCTCCTTTCCCTATTGTTTTAAATTCATTATCTGTACAGGATAAGATAATAAACCAAGCGCCAAACGAGGAAGTTTTTCTAACTGAGCCGAGAGTGACGCAAGGTGCTCACGTGCCAACTCAAAAAGAGAAGGACCCAACCCAAGCGATAGCTAAGGCCCTCTTTCCAACTAGATTAAGAAAGAAGACAATTCCAATGAGTTTGAAAAGTTTTTACACACTTTCCGTAGTTTTAAAGTCACTATTTCATTTGCTGATGGTTTGCTGCAGATGCCACAATACGCTAAGTTTATAAAAGATATAATCAATAAGAAGCAAATAATGCCTGAAGTGGATGCAGCAATGCAGTTGGAGGGTGTGTGCAGCGCCATATTTTCGGAAGAGCTACCAAAGAAATTCTGTGATCCTGACAATTTTATTATTATCTGTACTATAGAGAACCTGAAACCGATCAGAGCATTATGCGACTTAAGAGCTAGTATTAATCTTATATTTTATTTGTTATTTAGTAAATTAGGGCTCTATGAACTTGATCTATGTAAAAATGATTTTTGCTGCTTTTTTTTTATTATTATTAACATTAAAAACAAATACTCCCTCCGTCCCACGCTATTTTCATTTTTATTTATCCCATAATAATTGACACTTTTCTATTTTTGGTAGAATTTATTAAATCAAAACATATTTAACAAATATAAATCAACTTAATTAACTACATAACATACAACATCATAAATGACATAGGATCCACTTAAAACTTCTTTATTTCTACCTCTCTCCTAAAAAAAATAAATATTTTTATCTATATTTAAAACTACACATCTTTTATAAAATTGATTTATGTTAATTATAAATAAACAAAAATCTTTTTTTTATTTACTTGTATTATAAAAAATTTTATTTTTTACAAAATAATATCCATATTGCATGTATTTTTTAATTGCTATATAATTTTTAAATATTTAAATATATATTTTAATTTTTTTGTTATATATTAAATTTATTTTAAAAATATAAATATTATTAATTATTAAAAAAATAATATAATAATATTATAACTAATTATTATTAACTAATTAAACATATTTGTCTCAAGCCAAAGGTTCAACTCCGGTTGGACGGAGGGACTACAAATGAGTCTATTTTAGACCCATGACATCGTCATCCCTCGTCACTATCACGCTGCCTTCCCTGCCTGACTGCGTTGTCCCTCTCTCTCTCTCTCCTCTTCCATCATGACGCCGACTTTGAATTCCTTACGCTTCTCCGATCAAAATACGCAGGACTACATCGAAACTCTGCTGGAATCCGCCCGTCCGTTCCTGCGCGGCGAGCTTGCATCTGTCGATGAAAAACTGCCGCATCTCGTATCTGTTCTGCAGGCGGCCGGCGCCGGCGAGTGCTGGCACAAGCACGGTAGCTTCCTCGACCATCTCCTAGATGTCTATCGGATACTAAAGCTGTGGCAGGCGCCGGACGTCGTATGCCTCTGCGGCCTCTTCCACTCCGCCTACTCCAACTCCTACGTTAACCTCGCTATATTCCCTCCCTCCGCCGACGGACGCGACGTCGTCAGAAAGCACGTTGGCGCGGATGCCGAGGATTTGATCTACCTCTTCTGCGTCGTTCCTCGTCATCCGTTAATTCACGATCTGCTCCTGATTAAGTATACGGACGACGAGCTTGTAGAGCACCTTCGGTTGTCGGAGGCTACTCTCAGTAAGATGAGTAACGGAGAAGATGAGAAAGAAGAGCAGCAGCAGTGGAGGAGGAAACTCCAGTCAATTTGTCCGGCGGAGGGGATAAAAGTGAAGCACATCAAAACAGGGGAAGACGTGGTGATTTCGAGAAGGATCGTAGCTGTGTTCCTCCTCATGACGATGGCGGATTTCAGCGATCAGCTCTTCAACTTTCAGGACGAGGTCTTCGACAACTCCAACGGACGCCTAGAGTTTTCCGGTAACAAAACGCTTACATCTCTCTGGCCGGGCGACGGAAAACCAGGTCTCTGGATGAACTCCGTATCACGAATGGCTGCAATATACATGCTAATCGTCAGAGAAGAAGAGATACTGAAATCTACCGAAGAAAACCTTGGTGGCGGTGAAGATCTGGAGCTGATAATCCCTCCGGTGCTGGACGGATGCACGAAAGTGGTGGATACCGAGGACCAGGTTGCGGCGAGGGATCTGTACTGGGAGGCGGTGTGTAGTGCGGCGGAGATAGGTTTGGAGAAGGCGGAGGAGATGCTGCTGAGGAGCGCGGAGAAGAATCCATTTGTTGGGGAGGTTCAGGTGGTGTTGGGTCAAGTGTACTTGGGGAAAGGGGATTTCACGGCGGCGGAGGCGGTGGCGGAGCGGGGACTCCGTCTGCTGCTAGAGTGGGGGAGTCCGTGGGATAAGAGAATGACGTGGCAGGGGTGGATTGCGTGGGCGAGGGTGGTGCGGATGAAGGCCAAGGAGAAATCCTGGCCGCACGATGGTTGGGGCCTTCTCAACTTGGGTCTTGTCAGGTAAAACAAAAACTAAATGGCTATCGTTTCCTTGCTGAAATGCAAATCAAGCTCACCCACAATAATAACTAGCGGTTAGCCCGTACGCACGGTAGCATCAACAATAAAATTGTAATATTGTATTCGTGTAATAAGAAAAATATCATTTATGTTTTGCGTCATGTAATTTAATATTAAAAATATTTATATATTTGTACAATTTATTCTTCAAATGTTATTTTATTTTTATTATAAAAAACTAATAGAGTAATTTTTATACTCCTTTCGTCCTGCAACAAAATATCCATTTTTTTATTTTAGTCTGTCCCATAACAAAGTATTAATTTCATTTTTTAGCAACTGTACTATCTACCTAACATTACAAATATCCTTACAACTTATAATATATTACACAAATGTCGTTACCTTTATATCACACACTACTAATAAAGTTATTTTAGTCATTTCTATTTTATTCCTACTACATTTTAATATAATATAATATTTTTAAAACTACATGAAAAAAAACAAATGGATATCTAGTTATGGGATATATTTGTTATTTATATTACATATTAATATTCAAATATAAATCTACAAAAAATTCATGATACTCTTCTTATGAGACGGAGACAATATTAATTTTGTATATGAATTTATATTTAAATTTTAAATTAATACTTCGATATACCAATCGTTCAAAATTAATTTATCAATTTGTTTTTAGCAATTATATTATACGTTAAAACTTAAAAATATTCTTAGGGTGTGTTTGTTTGAAGGATTTTGGTGGATTTCCACTATTCATTCAATTTTTTCCCCCCAAAAACATCAAATCAAACACCTATTTTTCATTTTTTATATTATACTAAAAATCAATTTTACATTCAAAACATCACATCAAACCCTATTTATATTACATCATACAACTATTCAAATTCAAAATTTTTACTATTCAAATCCCAATTCAAAATCCAAACCCCCAAACAAACACACCCTATCATCGTCAATATATAGCTAATTAACTATCCATACTTTTTTTTAACAACATACTTTTAAACATTAATATGAAGTGAATATAACTTTTTTTAATAATCCATTAATAATTATAAAATTACTAATTTAGCAAATATTATGCAAAAACAAAGTGATATATATAATTTGTGTAAATTTTTAAATATAATTTTTACTAATAATAGTTGCAAGTGACCTACAATAATAATGTTAAAAATATAATTTTAATGTTTATATTTGATTCTTGAAAATATATTTATACAATGATATTTAAGGAAAAATAACTTAGAAGTATTATATTAATATTTATAATTTATTCTCATTATATATTTTAATTATTCATCACATAATTATTAATATTTATTATTTATTCTTATTATATATTTTAATTATTCGTCAAAATTATATGATGTTATTTTAAAAAAGATATACTATTAAAACTTTAATTTTTTAATAAATTATTAAAAGTCCATAAATTTTTATTTAAGCATACAATATAAAATTCAATTTAAATATATTTAAACTTTCAATTCAACAAATAAAATATTATTAGTAAGTTTGTTTAATTTGTAATAAACAATAATTTCAAATTAAATAACACAATTATTTTTATTTTTACATTATCGATGTTAAATTTGTAATTTTTTTTAAAAAAATATTATATCAACAAATTTATTGTACTTTAAAATATTTTATTAATAATTCAAACCATAAGTGTTTGATTGTTTTCCGTTCAACCAAAATACATACCTACGTACTAAAATGGTAAAATCATATTAAATATTTTCAACAACAAAACAAAAATATTATATTATAAAAAAATAAAAAAGAAGTTGAAAAAAAAAAATTAAAAATTTAGAGGTACAAATACTTTTAAAATGATTTTAAAACAAATGTGCAAACTTACTATTTATCAAAACTCTAATGGGTGTTATTATCTGTTACTATAAAAGTTTTAGATAAGGTGTTGTTAAAATCTAAATTAATTTTTTTTATATAGATTTTCAATTTTTAAATTTTTAAATATAAAATTAAAAAGCTTATTAATAAAATTTTTTTTAATTAATAATTAATTTTAATCCTAATATTCATAATTCAAAATCTATCCCTCCAATATAGCAAATGCATTAGGTCTGCACTTAAATATTTTCATTAAATAAATGACAGAAGTACTTATTTTAAGAAGAAACAAATAACTTGTAATATATATACAAACAAAATATAGTTATATTCTTTCTGGTGGCCAAGAGTACATTCCAGAAGAAGAATTCTAACGATCACCGTTCTTCGTCGCTTCTCCGTCGACCACGGCGCCAATTTATACCGTCATTGAGAGGTTGCCACCACCAATATAAGCTTGAGAAGAACGCATTGAAGGACTACGTCTTGCTATGGTCGGTGCCATTATGATATTCTTAGAGTTTAGATTCCGGAACGTAGATTTCATGCTTGCCGACTTCCGTTTCTTCGCCGGAAGGCTCTCCTGAAGCTGGTCGGGTGTTCGTTTGACATGGACAATTTCTGATTTTTCTTTGCCGGAGATATCATTCATGGCGGAGTTTATGTGGTTCTCAGTGAGGGGATTCACTTCATTATATAGATAGTTGGCTTAAACAAATATACAATTAAAAAATAGTAATAATAATTGCTACTATTATTTTTTTAATTAATAAGAAAAATGTTTCGGTTTTCTTATGTAACTTTTTAGTTTTTCTATACTAAAGCTTTTATTCTTCCCACCAACGGTTACTCTTCTCTATGAAATCAAACATCTTTAAAATATTTATAATATATTTTTATTACAAAAACAAATTATATACGACTACACTTCTTTAAGATGTAGTATTTAAAAACTATTATATATAATGATCAATCAATATTTTTTATTTTTTAAAAAAAATGCAAAAAGGCATTAATTCAAATTTTACATCAGATAAGCTTGTAATATTCTTTTACAATAAATTTGTTTTATTTATTACAATTTTACCAATATATAATTATAAATAATTTTTTAAATATGAATAAATGCATAATAATACTAATAATAATTTGTTATATACGATTTCAATTATATATATAATATTGGATAAGCTCAAATTAATTAATATTAATTAACTTATATACTACACTTACATACATATATTTTTTTAATATAGCACGTATTTAAAAAAATAATTATCAATTCTAAATACATTTTTTGAAATAAAAAAGTAATTAGAAATAAGTGAAGATACAATTACATCACATATGAAATAAATAATTTAATATAGTATCATATATATATAAACAATTAAAAAGAAAGAAAAATATATAAATAATCATTTTGTATGTCTTACATATTATTTAAATAAAATAAAAAAATTATTATTTGCAATGGTCACCAATAAAAAAAGAAAAATTCAAAATAAATAGAAATTCATACTTTTTTAAAAAATGAATCCCACAATGAGTTCAAATATAAGATAATAATAATAACATTTATTATATTTTTTATGCCATTATTAGTAGTAGCTAGTAATGAAAGCACACAGGGGTAAAGGTTATCCATTATTCATAGCCACGGGCTTTTTTAAGGATCTTTTTTATGTTAAAATATAATAATAATAATAATATAAAAAGTAAAACTATTATCTTTTAACCAAATATGCAAAGTAAATATGATTTTTAGAGATGGACAGAAAAAATATTATTTAATTAAATATGCACAGACGTATTTATAAAAGTAGTTATACAAAATCAAATTCAAGACTAGTTTAACCATTTGATCTACAAAAGAATGACCACCGAGCATTTGTGAGAGGGTGGATACGCACGTGGCTATGTAAAGTTAGTGTGTTTGCTCGAAAACAAATATTTCTTCTATTTCATAACTATATATCTATTTGTTTTTTGTACATAGTAGTATTGTGTGATATAAAGATAATTTATATTTGTGTAATATATTGTAAATTATAAAAGTATTTGTAATGTTAGGTAGATAGTACAATTACTAAAAAAAAAAAAAAATTGGATATTAAGAGTCAAACTAAAATGGAAAATAAATAATTTGTTAAAGAGAAGAAGGGAGTATTCTTTTTGTTTCAAGTACATTTTTTAATCAAAAAAATAAGTACTTTCTATTCTAATTCAAATATTTTTTTATAATTTTGTCATTCTTATTAAAAAATTTAGTAAAAGTAATCGTATTCTAATATTAAAATACCTTTAACTTTTATTTAAATTACAAATATATCATCATATATACAATTATTTTATACAAAAGTCAAATAGCACAAATATTAAAACTTCTTATTTATTTTCACTAATAAATACTCCATTCGTCCCACTTAATTTGTCTCGTCTTTCTATTTTCATTTCACATAATTTGTCTTTTTTATTTTAAAATTTATAATTTATAAATTTCTATTTTCGTTCCACTTAATTTTCTTTCTATTTTATAATTTATCTTTCTACTTTAATCGTATTTTAAAATTTAATTTTTTTTTTATTTTAATTAAACTATTTAGTTATTTAATCTTAATTTATAATTATTTTTATTAAATCATAATTATTTTAATTAATATATTTTTTTATTATTTATTAATTACATAATACCTAAAATTAGGTTCCTAAGCTAAATAGAAAAATTTAACTGTGACCGAAGGAGTTCCTCCTCCTTATAGATAATTTGGGTCTATTATTTTAGATAAGAAAATTTATGTAAATTATAATTAATAAATAATTAAGAATTGTATCGGTAAAAATAATTATAAATTAAGATAATTAAATAATTTAATTAATATTAAAAATTTTATAAAATTTAAAATATAATTAAAATATATAATCATATTTCTAAAAATAAATAAATTATATAGAATAGAGGTAATATTATTTTTTAATTTATTATAAAACTCCAAAAGACCTATTTGAACATTAACGGAGGGAGTATGTTTGTTTCTTTCGTATAATTTTTTATAAAAATTATTAGTTTTGTTCACTAATCTTTTTTAATAGTATAATTCTCATAAATATTACATTTGTCCCATGAAATCAACACCATTTGCTTGTTGCATATAAATTATTTTAATATTAGTATTATATTGGTTTAGAGTAAAAAGATAAAAAATGTTCTTATTGAATTGTGTGATATAAAAATAACGGTATTTGTGTAATATATTGAGA